GTCCATCGTCCCTTTGACGCGGTGAAGTTGTCCTGTCCCCTTAGCAGAAAAACACCCCCAAAGCATAATGTTTCCACCTCCATGTTTGACGGTGGGGATGGTGTTCTTGGGGTCATAGGCAGCATTCCTCCTCCTCCAAACACGGCGAGTTTAGTTGATGCCAAAGCACTCCATTTTGGTCTCATTTGACCACAAATTTGACCAGTTCTCCTCTGAATCATTCAGATGTTCATTGGCAAACTTCAGACGGCCCTGTATATGTGCTTCTTGAGCAGGGGGACCTTGCTGGCGCTGCAGGATTTCAGTCCTTCACGGCGTAGTGTGTTACCAATTGTTTTCTCGGTGACTATGGTCCCAGCTGCCTTGAGATCATTGACAATATCCTCCTGTGTAGTTCTGGGCTGATTCCTCACCGTTCTCATAATCATTGCAACTCCACGAGGTGAGATCTTGCATGGAGCCCCAGGCCGAGGGAGATTGACAGTTATTTTGTGTTTCTTCCATTTGCGAATAATCGCACCAACTGTTGTCACCTTCTCACCAAGCTGCTTGGCGATGGTCTTGTAGCCCATTCCAGCCTTGTGTAGGTCTACAATCTTGTTCCTGACATCCTTGGAGAGCTCTTTGGTCTTGGCCATGGTGGAGAGTTTGGAATCTGATTGATTGATTGCTTCTGTGGACAGGTGTCTTTTATACAGGTAACAAACTGAGATTAGGAGCACTCCCTTTAAGAATGTGCTCCTAATCTCAGCTCGTTACCTGTATAAAAGACACCTGGGAACCAGAAATCTTTCTGATTGAGAGGGGGTCAAATACTTATTTCCGTCATTAAAATGCAAATCAATTTATAACATTTTTGAAATGCGTTTTTCTGGATTTTGTTTTTGTTATTCTGTCTCGCACTGTTCAAATAAACCTACCATTAAAAATTATAGACTGATCATTTCTTTGTCAGTGGGCAAACGTACAAAATCAGCAGGGGATCAAATACTTTTTTCCCTCACTGTATGTATATGTATATATATATATTTGCGAGAAAAAAAACATATGGGGGATTGGAAGTGATGAATAGAAGTATATTGATGGAAGTTACAATCTATCTGCAATATTAAAGCTGATCTACCCCCTAAAATAATAATAATAATAATAATAATAATAATAATAATAATAATAATCATGAAAACCCTCAAAAACAGTTAATAAAGCCACATACAAACATGGTCTCTTTTTTGCTTTCTTGAGTAAGGCAGCTCCAAAATGCAGGTGTTTCAGCCTAGCTCAGTGCTTTCTGTGGTGGTGGGGCAGCCAGCGGAAAATACGGAGCGTAGGGGTTGGTAATGTTCTCTAGTTGCACCGTGATTGGCTCAGTGTTCTGTCACTCATGGGGACACTACCTCGCCGCAAACTCTAAGGGTAGAGCTCGAAAATTCAAGCCCCTTGGGTGCTGCCATTGAGTTACATTAGAAGTGCCCATCCAAGAAGGCTCAAGGTCATTGGCCACAGATAAAATGACGTCAAATCACGTTATATCAACAGTAGCTTTGATTGGACTGATCATGTCAACGTCATACTTTCAACATTTTAGCTAGCAAGCTAGACAAGCAGTCATCATCATGAATCAAGTCGACAATCTACTGGCAAATCCTTTTCAGTCATATGAAGAGAAATAATGAAGAGAAATTATAGATAAATCGACCATTGGACATAAACATTACGCAACAAGTTGGTAATCGCATATTCAACAATGAGTGGTTTGGAAAGAATCAGTGGCTAACTGCAAGCATTGCAAAGCAATCACTATCCTGCTGTTCAGTGGAGTGGCTGTGTGGTCCAAGTCTGGGTTTAAGGGTCTCTTTTCCAAGCTTAAAAGGATGAACGTTCTACATTGGCCGTGCTGTCAATCCATCATGACTTCTGCCGCGCTCAAAACAACTGGAAACTCAGAACTGGGAAATCTGACTTCAGTGAGTTCAAGGCAACTGGGAACTCTGAAAAAAAACGAGCTCCGACTGGGAAAATAAGTTTTGAACGGTCGTCCAACTCGGAATTGCAAGTCAGGAACTCGAGCTTCTTTCTAGAGCTCCGACCTGAAGATCACTGACATCATTGTGATTTGACCTTGTTTTGTTTTTTCAGAGTTCCCAGTTGTCTTGAAAGCACAATCAATCCAGAGAATGCCAGACTTTGATGACAAAGTTTGATGACAACATTTGCCCACGAAGGACCACCGCGCCACCTTCCTGTTCAAGTGAGCACAGCACAACAAGGTGAGTCCAAAAATTTATTGTATGCTGCTGCATACATGATGTAATATGCCAGGGAGATACGTATTCTGTCTGTAGCTAAGAAAGTAATACTAAGTGTATGTTGTGTAGTAAGCTGTTAGTAGCCCATGTGCCTCACCCTAATAATTTGGTCACTTTTCCCTTCATAATTTTCCCTGTTCTGACTTGGACGGTGCACATGTAGCCTATAGCCTGTTTTAGAGAAATGTAATCATTGAATATTGTAAGAGCTTTCATTGTCTGCTTATATGCCCCCTTTATTTATCCTACGGTTCTGACTTGGTGTACAGGGAGAATACTGTAAGAACGGCCCATGTTCTGAATTCCGTCACTGTACATTTCAAAAGTGCTGTACAAATAGTTATATTGACTACGTCCGTCCTAGCTCGCTCATTAATGTCTTAATAGAAATTACGGATTGCCTCTTATCCGCTCGTCGTCCCCTTATGCCATAGTTTGTACATCTCAATTGTCAGTAGAAACCACATTTGTTTAAGCAAGTCAGCCATATCAGCTATGTTTTAAAAAAAAGCAGGTTATGAGGCTGAATGAACTGTTTCGTTGCCAGACAAGGCTCCACTGATAGCCAGGTGTAGCGGTGGTAAGGTGTTGGGACTCTGCTGTTGGGACTCTGCTGTTGGGACAGCTTTATGGAGGCCCTAACAGTTTGTGGGCACCGTTTGTCACCGTTATAGTGCAATTCATGTATTGTTTAGTGTTGTGGGTTTGCTGGCATGCAGTTTGCCCCACCAAGATTTACATGCTAAAGTCGCCACTGATCCCAAGTACTTCTCAGCCGCTGCCACCACAACTTCCGATCCATTTCTGCAGTACAATTGACAACTATGGCTATGAATGCTAAAAAACCCACCTTACTGAAGCACATATTCTTCCCATCACTCTCTCTTGGTCTCTGCCTACTCACAGGAATCCTCTCAGGATCCCTCACCCTGTACCCATCTTCCTCTACCACTCTCTTCACTGCTTTGGCATATGACACTTTCGGCAACCTCAACCTGCCTTTCTCTCACCGGACACCTCCGATCTCCAGCCCCATGGGGACCGCCCCCTCCAGCCCATGGGCACCGCTCCCTCCTCCAGTTTTTGAGGACATATATTTTCATTGTTCGAGCGGTCACTCGAATATCATAAGACAATCTTTGGTACCGTCCACTGGTTTATACCACAGATAGAACAATGAGACAGATATTTCACTGGATGTATAAATGTGAAGCATCCGGTTGGCATTTCCACTGGCGGGCAGTGGGAGAAGATGGAACGAGATGGATTTTGGCCGACATTCTGCACATTTTCTCATCGATTAAACATTTGATCTCAATACAGTTTTCTGTTGCCAAAACTACAATCTGTTACGAACAAAGTGGACAACGTTTTGTAGACTTTACCCTTTGCAAAAGTTTTTTTTATTTAAATCGCGTTGTTTGGGAGCACAAAGGGTAATTGAGTTATTGCACACACGCACGTCACAGAGTAGGCGTTCCCGAACGGAAATATGCAGATGCACACTAGAACACACCAATAGGATATCGCTAGCGCGTGATTGGCTCTGCCCACCTCCTTGCTTGTTCTGGCCACTATGACTCATTTGTTCCCATTGGAAACGACAAGCTGTGGTCTATCTTGGTTTAATTATAAAAATCTTTGTTTATACTGTATGTCACCCAGCAGCATCCCCGACCTAAAATACACACATATTCACTTTTCAACAAAACCAAAGAATACATTTTAAAGAGTGATGGCGAAGGCAGACATGGTGTTTAACCTAATACATCCATTCATTTTAAAGAGTGATGGCGAAGGCAGACATGCAGTGATACATTATCTGCAACATGTCATATTACCTTTAGAAATAAATAACAATGATGTACAATTGAACTCTACTCTCTCTGTGAAAGTGGGACAGAACACACACACTAGGAAATGACTAAGCAATTTATTTCCCCAAAAAGCTTTATTCAAAAACAGTTTTTACAGCACTATTCCCTTTAGAAAAAAAAACACTTAAATGGTTCTTCTCTCCTGATCGTGGAGAGCTAGAGGGTTGCGTTAGCTCCCCAAGTTAATGCCTAGGCTTTAGCTCAGTGGGCTAACAACACAGCACTGCAGCAGGCTTGCAGGTACACAGGGTTCGAACCCCGGCTCTCAGTCACATGTGTAAGGCATCAAGTGATGGAGCAGACTCTCTGGTTGAGGATACCCAAACAGCCCATCAGTGATGGAGCAGACTCTCTGGTTTAGGATACCCAAACAGCCCATCAGTGATGGAGCAGACTCTCTGGTTGGTTGATGGAGCAGACTCTCTGGTTGAGGATACCCAAACAGCCCATCAGTGATGGAGCAGACTCTCTGGTTGAGGATACCCAAACAGCCCATCAGTGATGGAGCAGACTCTCTGGTTGAGGATACCCAAACAGCCCATCAGTGATGGAGCAGCCTGTCTGGTTGAGGATACCCAAACAGCCCATCAGTGATGGAGCAGACTCTCTGGTTGAGGATACCCAAACAGCCCATCAGTGATGGAGCAGACTCTCTGGTTTAGGATACCCAAACAGCCCATCAGTGATGGAGCAGACTCTCTGGTTTAGGATACCCAAACAGCCCATCAGTGATGGAGCAGACTCTCTGGTTTAGGATACCCAAACAGCCCATCAGTGATGGAGCAGACTCTCTGGTTTAGGATACCCAAACAGCCCATCAGTGATGGAGCAGACTCTCTGGTTTAGGATACCCAAACAGCTCAAAGTCTGGCTCGTACAAACTGTACAGCTTCCTCCTCAACTCGGCTGGAACCTCAGCGAACCAATCCCGTTCCCAGCTGGCCGCCGTGCGGTTCCGGTTGCTAGGCGGGAACTTTATCTGGTCTTCCAGACCCAGGATCCGGAGCAGCTGATCAGAGTCGTCTTCCAGGTTTTCCAGCGTGCCGATGAAATCATACTGGATCTGACAGGGGTGACACAGCCGGTACACCTGAGGAGAAGAAGAAGTTAACTTGAGTCTAGTTGGGTTGAGAGCACACACACACACACACACACACACACACACACACACCTGGCGCCAGTGTTCGTTGAATGGCTGCTCCTGCTCCGTCTGGGGGTCGAGGAGATACCGGACGAACTCAGAGAACGACGGGTGGATCCCCGCTTTGAACGCCTCCGCCGCTGACTCCGGAACCCTGGAGGTCCCGTTCCCGTTTCCATAACGACGTAGCATGACGGAGCCGAACTGGCGGTAGAAGTCTTCGTTGGGCTGTTGGAACTTGTTACGGAAGGCGGAGATGAGTCGGACGAAGGGGTCGCGGACAAACAGGAACTTGGTGTAACTCTGCAGTTTCACCCTCATCAGGTGACGGGAGAGACGGCCATACCTACGCCAGAACTATAGGAGGGAGGGGGAGGGGGGAGGTCCAAGAGCGGCGGAGAGGAGGGTGATGGGTGAAAGGCATGGGCCGAGAATCGGCCCCGGGAAGGAGAGGGGAACTGGAGATGGGAGGGACGAGGTCACGGGGGGCCAGGGTGGAGGGGACGCAAGGGGGGTGACGGAAAGGAACGGGCGAAGGGGAGGAGGAAAGTTGAGGGGAGGGGGCGGGGCATTGTCCGACATTACAACCCGGGGGGAGAGAAAGGAGGGGTCTCGCCTGTCCTCCCCACTTCTAGGGGGCCGAGGGAGGGGAAAGGAGGGGAGGGGAGGGAGGAGGAGGGGTACTGGCTGCCACGGGGGTCCCGAGAAAGGAGGGGAGGGTGCGACGGGGGGAAGCGGAGGGAGGGGAAAACTCCGGCTCTATCGGGGGACGGAAAGGCAGGCGGCAGGGGGGAGGAGCAATAGGGAGCGGGCCCCACCTTCCAGGCGGCGGGGGCAAGGAGGGGACTGGGGTGTTACTAGGGAGGGAGGGGGAGTCTGGGGGAGATGGAAATGGGAGGGGAGGAGGGGTGGGATTGGGAGGGAGGGGAAGGGGGTGGAGGAAAGGAGGGGCAAGGGGCGTGAGGAGGAAGGGAGGGGATGGGGTGAGGAAAGGAGGGGAATGGCGGGGAAGGGAGGGAGGAGGTAAGCGGGGAGGAAAGGAGGGGACGGGGGTCTGGAGGACGAGAGGAAAGGACGGGGAGGGGGTGAGAGAAAGGAGGCGGAGGGGGGAGGAAAGGAGGGGATGAGGGGAGGGGCAAAGGTCGAGGGGAGGCTGTGGGGGAAGGAGGAAGGAGGCGGAGGGGGCGAGGGGATAAGGAGGCGGTGGAGAGGGGAAGGAGAGGAAAGCGAGAAAGGGAGGGGGGAGGAAAGGAGGGCGAGGGGGGAGAGGAAAGGAGGTGGACGTGGGGAGGATGGGAGGGGGAGGATGGGACGGGGGGGAGGGGCCCAGCGGACTAGGGGGGAGGAAAGGAGGGAGGGGGGAGGGAGGAGGGGGAGGGAGGGGAGGGGGGAGAAAGGGAGGGGCAGGGGGGAGGGAGGAGGGGAGGGTGGGGAGGAAAGGGAGAGGGGAGGGGGAGGAAAGGGGGGGAGGGGGGAAAGGGGGGGGGAAGGGGGGGGGGAAAGAGGGAGGGGGGGAAAAAGGGGGGGAAAAAAGGGGAAAGGTTTTGGGGAAAAAAGGAGAATGGGGGGAAAAAGGGGGAAAGGGGAAAAAGAGGGGATGGGGGGGAACAAGGGGGGGTTAGGGGAAAAGGGGGGGGAGCCCCGGGGGATTTGGGAGGAAGGGGGGGAGGGGGGAAAAGGGAGAGGAGGTAAGAGGGAAAGCGGGGGAAAAGGGGTAAAAGGGGAAGGAAAACGGGATAAAGAGGGAAGCCCTCCCCACCTAAGAGGAAAGGTGAGGGCAGGGACGGGGTGGATTATAAAGGGGGCCGGGCCTGGGGGGGGAAGGGTCTCCCCCGGCCGGAAACCCTCAGAGGGGAACCCCCCAAACACGCTTCTTGGTTGCACCTAGAGAGAGGGGAGAGGGGAGGGGAAGGGGGGAAAAGGAGGAGGGGAGGGGGGAGAAGAAAGGAGGAGGGGGGGGGAAGGGGGGAGGGGGGACCGGGGGAGGGGAAAGAAAGGGGAGGAAAGGAGAGGGGGGGAAAAGGGAGGGGGAGGAGGGGGGGAGGGGGGAAGAGAGGAAAAGGGGGGGGGGAAGAGGGGAGAGGGGGAGGAGGGGAGGAAATTTTTTTTTTTATACAACAGGTCACAAGGTCTTTAAGTGCCCCCCTCCCCCAAAAGAAAGCAACAGGCAATTTTTGTGCCCCAAAAAACTCTGAAAAACAGAAACATAGAGAGGAACCAGGCTCGAGGGGCAGACAGTCTTTTTCGGGGCCCCTCCCCCCCTACCTGAGGGGAAAACCCGGCTCCTCCCCTACCTAGGGGGGGGAACCCGGGGGCTCCGAGGGGCAGACGCCCTTTCTGGTGCGCCCTCCCCCCCCACCTAGAGGGACCAGGCCCCTCCCCTCCCTAGAGGGGAAAAACCGGGTCCGAGGGGAGACAGTCCTCTTTGGCTCGCCCCCTCCCCTACCTAGAGAGGAACCGGGCCCCCCCCTAAATAGAGGGAAAACCCCCCCCCCCCACCTAGAGAGGAACCCAGGCTCCGGGGGCAGACAGTCCTCTTCTGGGGGCCCCTCCCCTACCAGAGGGGAACCCAGGCCCAGGGGCAGACAGTCCTTTTCTGGCTGCCCCCCTCCCCTACCTAGGAGGAACAGGCTCCCCCCACCAAAAGGGGCCAGGCCCCTCCCCCCCCTAGAGGGAAACCCGGGCTCCGAGGGGGGGACAGTCTTTTGGCTGGCCCCTCCCTCCGAGGGGAAACCCGGTCCGGGGGGGAGACAGTTTTCTGGCGGGCCCCCCCCCCTCCCTAGAGGGGAAAACCCCCGGCGAGGGGCAGACACCCTCTTTGGCTGCGCCCCCCTACTAGAGAGGAACCAGGCCCTCCCTCCCTAGAGAGGAACCAGGTAGGGGAGACAGTCCTTTTGGTGGCCCTCCCTCCAGAGGGGGGAACCCAGGCCCCCCCCTTTTTCCCCCCCTACTGGAGGAACCAGGCTCCGAGGGGGGGACGGGCCTCTTCGGGCTCGCCCCCCCCTACCTGAGGGACCAGGCCCCCCCCAGGGGCAGACAGCCCCTTTTCGGGCTGCCCCCTCCCCCCTAGAGAGGCCCGGGGCCCGAGGGGAAAGGACAGCCCTCTCGGGCGCCCCCTCCCCCCTCCTAGAGAGGGGAACCAGGCCCCTCCCCCCCCCTAGGAGGAACCAGGTCCGAGGGGCAACAGCCCTTTGGGCTGCCCCCTCCCCCTAGAGAGGAACCAGGTCGAGGGGCAGACAGCCCTCTTCTGGCGCGCCCCCCTCCCTACCTAGAGAGGAAACCAGGCTCCGAGGGGCAAAAAGTCCCTTTGGTGCGCCCTCCCCCCCCTCCCTAAAAGGGGGAACCAGGCCCCTCCCCTCCCTAGAGGGAAACCAGGCTCCGGGGGGCAACAGCCTCTTCTGGTCCCGCCCTCCCCTACCCGAGAAACCAGGCTCCCCCCCCCTACCTAGAGAGGAACCGGCTCGGGGGGCAGACGTCCTTTTTGGCTGCGCCCTCCCCTCCCTGAGAGGAACCGGGGCCCCTCCCCTACCTGAGAGGAACCAGGCCCCGAGGGGAGACGGGCCCTCTTTGGCGCCCCCTCCCCCCCTAAAAGGGGAAACCAGGCTCGAGGGAACACCCCCTTTCGGGGGCGCCTCCCCCCCCCTGGGGGGGCCGGCTCCGGGGGGGGGAACAGTCTTTCGGGCTGCGCCCTCCCCAAAATAAGGGAAACCAGGTCCGAGGGGCAGACAGTCCTCTCTGGCTGCCCCCCCCTACCTAGGGGGAAACCCAGGCCCCGGGGGGGAGCGCCCCTTTTGGCTGGCCCCCCCTTACCTAGAGAGGAACCAGGCTCCGGGGGGCAGCAGCCCTCTTTGGTGCGCCCCCCCCCCTCCCTAGAGAGGAACCGGGCCCCTCCCCTCCCCCCTAGAGAGGAACCAGGCCGAGGGGCGACAGTCCTCTTCTGGCTGCGCCCCCCCACAGAGAGGAAAAACCCCCCCAGGGAAAAACCCCCCCCCTTACCAAAGAGGGGGAAACCCAGGTCCGGGGGGAGAAGTCCTTTTGGCTGCGCCCTCCCCCTAGAGAGGAACCGGCCCGAGGGGCAGACAGTCCTTTTCGGCTGCCCCCCCCCTACCAGAGGGGGAACCCGCTCCGAGGGGCAGACAGCCCTTTTGGGCTGCGCCCTCCCCTCCCTAGAGGGGAACCAGGTCCGAGGGGCAGACATCCTCTTCTGGCGGGCCCCCCCCCCCCTATAGAGAGGAACCAGGTCCGAGGGGCAGACGTCCTTTTTGGCGCGCCCCCCCTACCTGAGAGGGGAACCAGGCCCGGGGGCGACAGCCCCTTTTTGGGCGCGCCCCTCCCCTAATAGAGAGGAACAGGTCCGAGGGCAGACAGTTTTTCGGCTGGCCCTCCCCTCCCTAGAGGGGAAAACCAGGCTGGGGGGGCAGACGCCCCTTTTCGGGTGCCCCCCCCCTACCGAGAGGAACCAGGTCCGGGGGGCGACAGTCCTTTTGGCTGTGCCCTCCCCTCCCTAGAGAGGAACCAGGCCCCCGAGGGGCAGCCCGCCCTTTCTGGCGCGCCCTCCCTCCCCTACCAGAGGGGAAACCCAGCCCGAGGGGCAGACAGTCCTTTTGGCTGCCCCCCTCCCCTACCTAGAGAAAAACCAGGCCCCGAGGGGCGACAGTTCTTCTGGCTGCGCCCCCCCCCCTAGAGGGGGAACCCCCCGAGGGGAGAAGGGGGCCTTTTTGCGGGCCCCCCTCCCCCCCTTACCAGAGAGGAACCGGGGCCCCGGGGGGCAGACACCCCCTTTTTGGGCGCCCTCCCCCCCCTACCTAGAGAGGAACCAGGTCCCCCCCACTGAGGGAACCAGGCCCCGAGGGGCAGACAGTCTGTTTTGGTGCGCCCCCTCCCCTCCCAGGGGGAAACCCAGGCCCCGGGGGGCAGACAGTCCTCTTCGGGCGCGCCCTCCTCCCTACCTAGAGAGGAACCAGGCCCCCGGGGGCAGACAGCCTTTCTGGCGCGCCCCCCCACCTAGGGGGAGGAACCAGGCTCCGAGGGGCAGAAGTCCTTTTTGGCGCGCCCTCCCCTACCTAGAGGGGAAACCCCAGGCCCGGGGGGCGGGGACAGCCCTCTTCTGCTGCGCCCCCCCTACCTAGAGAGGAAACCAGCTCGAGGGGCAGAAGTCCTTTTCTGGCTGCCCGCCCTTTCCCTCCCCTACTAGAGGGAACAGGTCCAGGGGGGGACAGTTCTTCGGGTGGCCCCCCCCCTACCTAGAGAGGAACAGGCCGAGGGGCAGACGCCTTTTGGCTGCGCCCTCCCCCCCCCCCTCCCTAGAGGGGAAAACCCAGGTCCGAGGGGCAGACATCCTCTTCTGGCTGCGCCCCCCCCCCCTCCCTAGAGAGGAACCCGGGCTCGGGGGGGGGACAGTTTTTTGGCGGGCCCTCCCCCCCTACCTGAGGGGAAACCCAGGTCCCCCCCTCCCTAGAGAGGAACCCAGGTCGGGGGGCAACAGTCCCTTCTGGCTGCGCCCTCCCCCCCTCCCTAGAGAGGAACCAGGTCCCCCCCTCCCTAGAGAGGAACCAGGCTCCGAGGGGCAGACGTCCTCTTCTGGCTGGCCCCCCCTCCCCTAACTAGAGGGGAACCGGCCCTCCCCTACTAGAGAGGAACCGGGCTCCGAGGGCGGGACAGTCCTCTTCTGGCGCGCCTCCCTCCCCTACCAGAGAGGAACCGGTTCCCCCCTACCTAGAGAGGAACCAGGCTCCGAGGGGCAGACAGTCCTCTTCTGGCTGCGCCCTCCCCTACCTAGAGAGGAACCAGGCTCCGAGGGGCAGACAGTCCTCTTCTGGCTGCGCCCTCCCTACCTAGAGAGGAACCAGGCTCCTCCCCTACCTAGAGAGGAACCAGGCTCCGAGGGGCAGACAGTCCTCTTCTGGCTGCGCCCTCCCTCCCCTACCTAGAGAGGAACCAGGCTCCTCCCCTACCTAGAGAGGAACCAGGCTCCGAGGGGCAGACAGTCCTCTTTTGGCTGTGCCCTCCCCTACCTTGGGAACGTAGCAGTAGATGATCTGATGTCTGTCGTCTACTATCAGGTGGTCTAACTCCCGGTTGGGAATCTGGTCAAACGTCCGGAACTTTCCTGGGAATTGTAATGTTCCGTTCCCGGAACACATATCACTGATCCGCCTCCTCCTGTCCTCCTGTCTCCTCCCCTCCTCCTCTCGTTTCTCCTCCTCCGCCTGCCTCACTCTCTCCTCTTCTCGCTTCCCTTCCTCCTCTCTCATCCTCTCCTCCTCTCTCTCCTTTCCTCTCCACCTCTCCTCCAGCTCTGAGGAGTCTGTTCCTTGGGTGAGGGGGTGTTCCTCCCCTGGGGGTTTGGGGGTCCCCCTCCTCCCCTCTCCAGGCCGGTCAGGTTCTGTGGTCCTGGGGGATTTGGGGGTCCCCTGCACCTCCATGGTGGCAGAGAGGAGCCCCCCCCCTAGGGGATGGGAGAGGGATGAGCTGGAGGAGGGGCGGCTGGGGGAGGAGCTGGGTGAGGTGGGGTGGGGGTGAGGGTCGTGGAGGTAGAGATTGAGCTCTCCCACGTCGTCCCAATAGATGATGATGAGCAGCACCATTAACACGGACCCCAGCAGGAACGCCAGACGGAAGCACCGTGACGTTCCCATGGTTACCACCGCAGAGCGGATTTGGACAGGCAGACGGAAGGGAGCGGAGTTATCTCAGCTCCATGGCCCGACGGTCACTACGGGAAACACTTCCTGGTTGCAGACGACGACACCTGAGAGACAACAGGTGAAAAGAGTCTCAGTGAAGAATCCAGGAGTCACACACACACACCAACACACACACTGTGTCCAAACGAGGTAGAGTTAGAGAATTGATCAGGAAAAACTCCTAGCCCATATATAAATATCTACCTGTACATATTACTTGATAATCCAATTCAACATTTGCCTTGAGGCTAGAGGTGTGTGATGACGCGGTCAGACGCGCTGCCAAGGCAACCACAAAACAAGGAATCCAAAACGTATTTGCCAGACAAAGGCTCCACGTTTTCCAAACACAGGTAATTTCATAGGCTACAGAGTCCATCCATGATCAAAGCAAAAGTGCAGGGATTTAAATGAGAGCAGATTTCTTAGTTCAAACACCGTATGGTACCACCATAACTGAGGCCTATTTGAGGCCATACTGAAGTCAACCGGAGACCAGACCTTAGGCCTACCTGAAGAGAGTAGCTCTCCAGGAAGAGGGTTGGGCAGCCCTGCTGAAACCTACAGGAGGGAAGCTCTCCAGGACACACACAGGAAGAGAGGCAGCCCTACTAGGGTTGATGTATGTGGATATGAGAAATGGTCCGTGGGAACAGCAGGGGTTAGGACCGGGTGTTAAAAAGAAAGAGAGCGAGAGAGCAGGAAAGAAAGAGAGAGGAGAGATCGAGAAAGAGAGAGAAGAGGACGAGAGAGAGAGAGCAGAGAGGAGAGAGAGAGAGAGAGAGCGAGAGCGAGAGAGAGAGAAGAGAGAGAGAGAGAGAGAGCGAGAGAGAGAGAGAGAGAGGAGAGAGAGACGAGAGAGAGCGAGGAGAGAGGCGGAGAGAGAGAGAGAGAGAGAAAGAAAGAGAGAGAGAGAGAGAGAGAGAGGAGAGCGACAGAGAAACGAGAGAGAGGGAGAGAGCAGAGCGAGAGCGAAGAGGAGCGAGAAAGAGAGAGGCAGAGAGAGCGAGGGAGAGGACAAAGAGAGCGCGCTAGCGAAAGCCAGAAAATAGAGAGAGCGCGAGATGCAGAGGAGAGAGAGAGAAGAGAGAGAGACCAGAGAGAGAGAGCGCGAGAGAGAGCCGACGAGAAACGAGCGCGACTCTACCGCCAGCAGACACTATGCGGAGAGAGAGACATTCCACTCTCACATCTCTCTCTCTCTCCCTCCATCCACTATTCTCTCTCTCTCTCCTCCATCCACTATTCTCTCTCTCCCTCCATCCACTATTCTTTCTCTCTCTCTCTATTAATAATCAATATTGTCAACTGGACAACAGTAACAACAATAATTAAGGGTAAAAATAACCATCCAATGGACAGTAACAATAACAATGGCATAGAGGACGTGCAGGTTGGTTGGTCTGTCAGACACTGTCCCTCATCTTATGGCAGGCAGCAATGTAGTGCGCTGCCAACCCACAGCTCTCTGCGTCCTCCCCCAACAGGACGGGTAGCCTGAGTCCTCCCCCAACAGGACGGGTAGCCTGCGTCCTCCCCCAACAGGACGGGTAGCCTATCCTGCCAACCCACAGCTCTCTGCGTCCTCCCCCAACAGGACGGGTAGCCTATCCTGCCAACCCACAGCTCTCTGCGTCCTCCCCCAACAGGACGGGTAGCCTATCCTGCCAACACACAGCTCTCTGCATCCTCCCCCAACAGGACGGGTAGCCTGAGTCATCTCCCAACAGGACGGGTAGCCTGCGTCCTCCCCCAACAGGACGGGTAGCCTATCCTGCCAACCCACAGCTCTCTGCGTCCTCCCCCAACAGGACGGGTAGCCTATCCTGCCAACCCACAGCTCTCTGCGTCCTCCCCCAACAGGACGGGTAGCCTATCCTGCCAACCCACAGCTCTCTGCGTCCTCCCCCAACAGGACGGGTAGCCTATCCTGCCAACCCACAGCTCTCTGCGTCCTCCCCCAACAGGACGGGTAGCCTATCCTGCCAACACACAGCTCTCTGCGTCCTCCCCCAACAGGACGGGTAGCCTGCGTCCTCCCCCAACAGGACGGGTAGCCTGAGTCCTCTCCCAACAGGACGGGTAGCCTGCGTCCTCCCCCAACAGGACGGGTAGCCTATTCTCATCAGAGAGGTCTTTGAAACCTTGAAGAAGGGTTTCAAATTTGGGGAAATGACACTAATTGTTAAATATTTTTAATATTTTGTCAGGATATACAGCTCTGTCTCAGGTTCTGCTGTTCAGCTGTTCTCTCTCTCTGATATTTCAAACCCACAGGACCTAAATACAGTAATTTAATAGCTACCACCAGTCAGAATGCCAAAAATACCAGGTCGCAAGGAGAGGCTTTTTCCAAGGTTGACACATAAGTTAGGTCAATTAGAAAATATAGACTTATAATAATATGGAATAATGTTTTAATATATTTTAATATGGTTATGAAATATATAATTTAGATAGACAAATTGTATAATACCATAACAAGAAATCATACCATAAAAAATATTTTGTAAAAATTCAGTCGGAAGTATTTTTCCACGCGGCAGACAGACAGACAGTCATAGCCTACAGACAGACAGACAGTCATAGCCTACAGACAGACAGACATTCACAGACAGACAGTCATAGGCTACAGACAGACATAGATACAGACAGTCATAGCCTACAGACAGACAGGTTTGTCCACCTGAACATGTTGGGTTCTAGTCCACCTGAACATGTTGGGTTCTAGTCCACCTGAACATGTTGGGTTCTAGTCCACCTGAACATGTTGGGTTCTAGTCCACCTGAACATGTTGGGTTCTAGTCCACCTGAACATGTTGGGTTATGTCATTAGGATGAATAATGTCTGACTGTTTTACCTCCAACTCTACTGAAATACTCCTCCACCTCGCCGACACACACAGACACACAGACACACAGACACACACACACACACACACACACACACACACAGAGAGAGAGAGAGAAGGCCAGAGAGGCAGCCTTACTAAAATTGATGTACGTACAGTGCATTCGGAAAGCATTCAGACCCCTTGACCTTTTCCACATTTTGTTACGTTTCAGCCTTATTCTAAAATGTATTAAATAAATAAAATTCCTCATCAATCTATACACAATACCCTATAATGACAAAGCGAAAACAGGTTTTTAGAAATGTTTACAAAGTTATAAAATATATAAAACAAACAGAAATACCTTATTGACATAAGTATTTAGAGCCTTTACTATGAGACTCGAAATTGATTTCAGGTTCTTGTTTCCATTGATCATCCTTGAGATGTTTCTACAACTTCCACCTGTGGTAAATTCAATTGATTGGACATGATTTGGAAAGGCACACACCTGTCTATATAAGGTCCCACAGTTGACAGTGCATGTCAGAACAAAAACCAAGCCATGAGGTCGAAGGAATTGTCCATAGAGCTCCGAGACAGGATTGTGTCGAGGCACATATCTGGAGAAGGGTACCAAAAAAATTCTGCAGCATTGAAGGTTCCCATGAACACAGTGGCCTCCATCATTCTTAAATGGAAGAAGTTTGGAACCAGCAAGAAATACCCTTCCTAGAGCTGGCTGCCCAGCCAAACTGAGCAATCGGGGGAGAAGGGCCTTGGTCAGGGAGGGTACCAAGAACCCGATGGTCACTCTGACAGAGCTCCAGAGTTCCTCTATGAAGATGGGAGAACCTTCCAGAAGGACAACCGTCTCTGCAGCACTCCACCAATCAGGCCTTTATGGTAGAGTGGCCAGACGGAAGCCACTCCTCTGTAAAAGGCACATGACAGCCCGCTTGGAGTTTTCCAAAAGGCACCTAAAGACTCTCAGACCATGAGAAACAAGATTCTCTGGTCTGATGAAACCAAGATTGAACTCTTTGGCCTGAATGCTAACCGTCATGTCTGGAGGAAATCTGGCACCATCCCTACAGTGAAGCGTGGTGGTGGCAGCATCATGCTGTGGGGATGTTTTTCAGCGGCAGGGACTGGGAGACTGGGAAGGATCAAGGGAAAGATGAACGGAGCAAAGTACAGAGAGATCCTTGATAAAAACCTGCTCCAGAACGCTCAGACTGGGGCGAAGGTTCACCTTTTAACAGGACAATGACCCTAAGCACACAGCCAAGACAACGCAGGAGTGGCTTCGGGACAAGTCTCTGAATGTCCTTGAGTGGCCCAGCCAGAGCCCGGACTTGAAACCGATCTAACATCTCAGGACAGACCTGAAAATAGCTGTGCAGCGACGCTCCCCATCCAACCTGACAGAGCTTGAGAGGATCTGCAGAGAAGAATGGGAGAAACTCCCCAAATACAGGTGTGCCAAGCTTGTAGCATCATACCCAAGAAGACTCAAGGCTGTAATCACTGCCAAAGGTGCTTCAACAAAGTACTGAGTAAAGGGTCTGAATACTTATGTAGATGTAATATTTCCGTTTTTTATTTTTAATAAATTTGCAAAACATTGTGTGTAGATTGATGAGGGGAAAAAACAATTTAATCAATTTTAGAATAACGTAAGAAAATGTGGAAAAAGTGAAGGGGTCTGAACACTTTCCAAATGCACTGTATGTGTATATCAGAAATGGAAAATGGGAAGCTCTCCAGGACACACACACAGGAGAGGCAGCCCTACTAGGGTTGATGTATGTGGATATGAGAAATGGTCCATGGGAACAGCAGGGCTTAGGATCAGGGTGTTAAACTCACAGGCTGCTATGAAGAAACCTGAACTCGTCTCTCTCTCTCTGTCTCTCTCAGTTAAACAGTTATGTATTTCTGTCTCTGTTTAACCCTCGCTCTCAGTTAAACAGTTATGTATTTCTGTCTCTGTTTAACCCTCTCTCTCAGTTAAACAGTTATGTATTTCTGTCTCTGTTTAACCCTCTCTCTCAGTTAAACAGTTATGTCTTTCTGTCTCTGTTTAACCCTCTCTCTCAGTTAAACAGTTATGTTTCTGTCTCTGTTTAACCCTCTCTCTCAGTCTAGTAAACAGTTATGTCTTTCTGTCTCTGTTAACCTCTCTCTCAGTTAAACAGTTATGTCTTTCTGTCTTGTTTAACCCTCTCTCTCCTCAGTCATTAAACAGTTATGTCTTTCTGTCTCTGTTAACCCTCTCTCTCTCTCTCAGTTAAACAGTTATGTCTTTCTGTCTCTGTTTAACCCTCTCTCTCTCTCTCTCTCAGTTAAACAGTTATGTCTTCTGTCTGTTAAACCTCTCTCTCGTTAAACAGTTACTGAATCTCTCTCTCCCATCCAAATCTCTCTCCATCCATCCACTACTCTCTTCTCTCCCCCATCCACTATCTCTCTCACCTCCATCCACTATTCTCTCTCTCCCTCATCCACTATTCTCTCTCTCCCTCATCCCTATTTATCGCTCTCTCTTCGCCCTCCATCCACTATTCTCTCTCTCTCTCTCTCTCTCCCTCCATCCACTATTCTCTCTCTCTCCCTCCATCCACTATTCTCTCTCTCTCCCTCCATCCCATCTTCTCTGTCTCGCACCATCCACCTTCTTCCTCTATCTCTCCCTCCCAATCCCACTATCTCTTCTCTCCCTCCATCCACTATTCTCTCTCTCTCCCTCCATCCACTATTCTTTCTCTCTCTCTCTATTAATAATCAATATTGTCAACTGGACAACAGTAACAACAATAATTAAGGGTAAAAATAACCATCCAATGGACAGTAACAATAACAATGGCATAGAGGACGTGCAGGTTGGTTGGTCTGTCAGACACTGTCCCTCATCTTATGGCAGGCAGCAATAATAATAATAATAATAATAAATAATAGTTCTCTCTAGCAATGTAGTGCGCTGCCAACCCACAGCTCTCTGCGTCCTCCCCCAACAGGACGGGTAGCCTATTCTCATCAGAGAGGTCTTTGAAACCTTGAAGAAGGGTTTCAAATTTGGGGATTATTATTTTTGTAATATATTTTGTCAGGATATACAGCTCTGTCTCAGGTTCTGCTGTTCAGCTGTTCTCTCTCTGCTATTCCAAACCCCCAGGACCTAAATACAGTACTGTAATAGCTACCACCAGTCAGACTGCCAAAAATACCAGGTTGCAAGGAGAGGCTTTTTCCAAGGTTGACACATAAGTTAGGTCAATTAGAAAAGATAGACTTATAATAATATGAAATAATGTTTTAATATATTGTAATATGGCTATGAAATATATAATTTAGAGAGACGTATAATACCATAAGAATAAATAACATAATATAATAAATATTTTGTAAAGATTCAGCTCAGAGCTCAATCTGAAGTCTTTTCCCACGCGGCAGACAGACAGACCGACAGACATTCACAGACAGACATTCACAGAAAGACAGACAGACATAGCCGAAAGACATTCACAGACAGACAGACAGACAGACAGACAGACATTCACAGACAGACAGATATCGCCGACAGACATTGACAGAAAGACAGATAGACATAACCTACAGACAGACAGTCATAGCTGACAGACAGACAGGCCAGTCCAACTGAACATGTTGGGTTCTAGTCCACCTGAACATGTTGGGTTCTAGTCCACCTGAACATGTAAATCAGAACAAGGAACCAAGCGACAACACTGCCCCCATGGCTGCAGAATGAATGATACGGCGTCTCAATCTCCAGGTACAATACTCCAGCGGCCCCGTCTACGTATTCTCTGTAGCACACTCCCCACTGGGCAAACACTGGTTGAATCAACGTTGTTTCAACGTAATTTGTCAATGCATTGTGACATGGAATCTACAGGGAAAACACGTTGTATTTGCAAAAATGTAATCAAAGTAAGTTTTGAGGGTCCAATTTTTACCACAGGATTATGTCATTATGGTTACCAGGTTTCAACATTGACAAACCTTGTATAAAATATGTTCAACCAAACACAATTAATGATTACTTTTGTAATACGGTAAATAGCCTATAGTTAAGGCTATATTGCAAACTAATGTAACGGTATTTATTCAACCTCAAAATGAGTAACACATCCATGGACACATTTTTGAGGTTACCGTAACTATAAATGTCTTCTTATGTGATCATAGGAAGCGTGCATGTTCAAGATAGTGCGAAAGGTCGCAGGTCTGTGGAGATCTTCACATTGCCGTAATAATCTGTTCAGAATCTCAAAACAGCATTCATCACTCGCTCTGTGTAGTTTGAATGAAATCTCAACTGCAATCCAGTTTGGTTGTGCTATTAGATTAAGCACAGTGATAACACAGTAAATTGTTGCATCCATACAAAATATGGGACATTTTGTATTCCCATTTTAACTTTGTTGTGCTTTTAAATGGTTGAAAGCACAGTGATAACACATTTAGATGACAACTAAACCAAAAATCTGACATTATTTTTCCAATGGAATTTGGTTGTGCTTTTAGATGGTTGACCCAGCCTCCACACTAGACCCAGCCTCCACACTAGACCCAGCCTCCACACTAGACCCAGCCTCCACGCTAGACCCAGCCTCCACACTAGACCCAGCCTCCCAGCTCCACACTAGACCCAGCCTCCACACTAGAACCCAGCTGCTCACACTAGACGCTCCACACTAGACCCAGCCTCCACTAGACCCAGCCTCCCAGCCTCCACACTAGACCCAGCCTCCACACTAGACCCAGCCTCCACACTAGACCCAGCCTCCACACTAGACCCAGCCTCCACGCTAGACCCAGCCTCCACACTAGACCCAGCCTCCACACTAGACCCAGCCTCCCAGCCTCCACACTAGACCCAGCCTCCACACTAGACCGCCTCCAGCCTAGACCACCAGCTGACACCACTAGCAACTAACCCAGCCTCCACCTAGACCAGCCTCCAACACTAGACCCAGCCTCCACACAGACCCAGCCTCCATCCCAGCCTCCACCTAGCCCAGCCCACCTCCAACTAGACCCAGCCTCCACACTAGACCCAGCTCCACTCCACACTAGACCCCCAGCCTCCCACCTCCCACTAGACCCAGCCTCCCACTAACCAGACCCCCTCCACACTAGACCCAGCCTCACCTAGACCCAGCCTCCACACTAGACCCAGCCTCCACACTAGACCCAGCTCCACATGCGCCTCCAGCCTCCACCACCTAGACCCAGCCTCCACAAGACCCACCTCCACCATAGACACCTCCAGCCTCCCACTAACGCCAGCCCCAGCTAGACCCAGCCTCCACACTAGACCCACCTCCATCCAGACCTCCACACTAGACCCAGCCTCCACACTAGACCCCAGCCTCCACACTAGACCCAGCCTCCACACTAGACCCAGCCTCCACACTAGACCCAGCCTCCACACTAGACCCAGCCTCCACACTAGACCCAGCCTCCACACTAGACCCAGCCTCCACCACTAGACCCAGCCTCACCTAGACCCAGCCTCCACACTAGACCCAGCTCCAAAAGCCTCCACACTAGACCGCAGCTCCCCTAGCCCAGCTCCACACCTCAAGACCCAGCCTCCACACTAGACCCAGCCTCCCACCTCCAATGCCCGCTCCACACTAGACCCACCAAGACCCAGCCTCCACACTAGACCCAGCCTCCCAGCCTCCACACTAGACCCAGCCTCACACTAGACCCACTCACATAGACCCTCCAGCCTCCACACTAGACACCCAGCCTCCACACTAGACCCAGCCTCCCAGCCTCCACACTAGACCCAGCCTCCACACTAGACCCAGCCTCCACACTAGACCCAGCCTCACATAGACCCAGCCTCCAGCTCCACACTAGACCCAGCCTCCACACTAGACCTCCAGCTCCACACCTCCACACTAGACCCAGCCTCCACTACCACTCAGCTAGCCCAGCCTCCACAGCTAGACCAGCTCACACTAGCCACCGTAGACCCCAGCCTCCACGCTAGACCCAGCCTCCACGCTAGACCCAGCCTCCACGCTAGACCTAGCCTCCCAGCCTCCACACTAGACCCAGCCTCCACACTAGACCCAGCCTCCCAGCCTCCACACTAGACCCAGCCTCCACACTAGACCCAGCCTCCCAGCCTCCACACTATACCCAGCCTGGATCTAACCCAGTCAATGGCCCTGCTGTATAAACCAAGGGCTTTTAACTTGTAGAGCATGATACTATGATCAACCGTGTCAAACGCCTTCTGCAGATCCAGCCTTATCATTCCACAGACATTTCCCCGGTCAACTTCTTTCCTGATAAAGTCAGTTAAAAACAATAGACGTGTCAGTGGAGTGGGACTTTCTAAAACCAGACAGTAGTTCATATAAAATATTATTATTGCCAGTATATTCCTCTCTGTTCATAAATTACTTTTTCCAGCACTTCAGACGGAAACACTCAAAATAGTTCCAGGTTTATAGTTGCCCTTGGCTGTTTCGCTACCCTTCTGGTGGATAAGGGATCACTCTAGCATGTTTCGGTGTATCCGTGGAAACTCTACCCTGCTCAATAGAGATGTAGATTAAATTAAAAAGGTATTGAGATTGTCAGCTACCACTTCCTTGTAAATATGATTTCTCCATTATCCTCCGGACCAAAGCGTTTGCCATTTGTTTTCTGTTTATCACTATATCCCAAACTGTTGAAGGAACTGACACAACTTCCTGGGATTATTCCTACTCTCACCAATTTTGTCTTTAAAATATGATTTATTGGCATCTTCAATGACTGGCTTTGTTCCTTAGGGTTCTGTGTCTAGTGAAAGCAGTATTCCTTGATTTAATGGCCTCAAGGATTTCCTGATTCATCCAAGCTTCAGTTCTTTGTTTAATTCTTATGGTTTTCCATGGAGCCACTATATCCACCATTTTTTTTTTAAAAACAGTTGTTGAAACAGTCCCATGCTTATCGACGTCTCATCCAAATATTACCCAAAATGTCCACTTTGAAATTACGTGATGTGCAAAGTGGGTCTCTCTCTCTAGCACAAACAAACTCACTCTCTCTTTCGGCTACCTCTCTCTCTCTCTCTCTCTCCTCTCTCCCTTTCTCTTTCCTTCCACTGCGGTTTCCTGCAGTCATCCACGGCCTGTCCTGCCAAGATGTAGCCAGTAACTCCAACTGTACACGTATTCTGGTTTTTTCCTCCCTCCCATCTCTCTCCTTCTCCTTCTAACGTCTCTGTTGAGATCACTGTGTATTGCCCATTTTCCCCCAATTACCCGCAGACACGTTTTATTAATCCCGATTCATCTCAAATAACCGCCTCACAGCAGGCAATAACTGTAAAGCGACATCGGTTAACTAACTACCCACCAGCTGTTTTAGTCGATTTGTCACCTGGAAAAGGAGAGGGAGGAAAGCCACTCCGCTGAAAGGACAAACTGTTCTATTCACAATCACATCCGGTCGGTTTAGAATGTTTTTTAAAAAATTTCCTGACTAACGGTTTTTAACGTTTACCTCTTTGTTCGCTTCCATGGTCGCGCGCGGGCTACCTGGCCCCTCGACGTAGTACGTACGGTGTGTCAGGTCTGGTCGGTAGATGACCGGGCGGTGGGGCGAGAGAGAGAGCAGCACGGTGGTAGTTTACACAAAGCAACCGGACGGGGACCCGCGGACGGGGCGCTGCGCAAACCATCGCGAGACTTCTTGTGATCTCGTCTATCCCCTAGGCAGTCAGGGAGAACCGGGGTAGGTTGCCGTAGCTCAATATGGGTCATGCCTAGAAGGGTTCCTGTTTTGTCACGTTTTTGTAGCAGGTTAGGATAATAAACGTAGTAGGTTAGGATAATTAGGTTAAGGTTAGGAAAAGGGTTAGGGTTAGCTAAAATGCAACAAAAAACAAAAACTTTTGACAAAAGCTGGATCCCATCTAGCCATGAACATCAATATGGCGACCGGAGTATGGGCGAATGGGTGTGTCGAAAGGAAAGTAGTGGGCGTGTGGAAAGCGCTCTGCTATTGGTTACATGGTTTTGATTGAGTTTTTATTTTTTTCCTTCTTCCGGTTCTTACCACGCAACTACCATACCACGAGAGTTTATATTTACATTACATTTTAGTCATTTAGCAGACGCTCTTATCCAGAGCGACTTACAGTTAGTGAGTGCATACATTTTCATACTGGCCCCCCGTGGGAAACGAACCCACAACCCTGGCGTTGCAAGCGCCATGCTCTACCAACTGAGCTACACGGGGCCCCTTGAGTTAGGGGACTACTGACTTATTTTTATTTATTTTATTTAACGTTTATTTAACCAGGTAAGCCAGTTGAGAACAAGTTCTCATTTACAACTGCGACCTGGCCAAGATAAAGCAAAGCAGTGCGATAAAAACAACAATATGGGGTAAACAAAACATAAAGTCAAAAATACAACAGAAAATATATATACAGTGTGTGCAAATGTAGCAAGTTATGGAGGTAAGGCAATAAATAGGCCATAGTGCAAAATAATTACAATTTAGTATTAACACTGGAATGATAGATGTGCAAGAGATGATGTGCAAATAGAGATACTGGGGTGCAAATGAGCAAAATAAATAACAATATGGGGATGAGGTAGTTGGGTGGGCTAATTTCAGATGGGCTGTGTACAGGTGCAGTGATCGGTAAGGTGCTCTGACAACTGATGCTTAAAGTTAGTGAAGGAGATAAGAGTCTCCAGCTTCAGAGATTTTTGCAGTTCGTTCCAGTCATTGGCAGCAGAGAACTGGAAGGAATGGCGACCAAAGGAGGTGTTGGCTTTGCGAATGCCCAGTGAGATATACCTGCTGGAGCGCATACTACGGGTGGGTGTTGCTATGGTGACCAGTGAGCTAAGATAAGACAGGGATTTGCCTAGCAGTGATTTATAGATGGCCTGGAGCCAGTGGGTTTTGCGACGAGGTAGGATAGTAGTGAGGACCAGCCAACAAGAGCGTACAGGTCACAGTGGTGGGTAGTATATGGGGCTTTGGTGACAAAATGGATGGCACTGTGATAGACTACATCCAATTTGCTGAGTAGAGTGTTGGAGGCAATTTTGTAAATGACATCGCCAAAGTCAAGGATCGGTAGGATAGTCAGTTTTACGAGGGCATGTTTGGCAGCATGAGTGAAGGAGGCTTTGCTGCGAAATAGGAAGACGATTCTGGATTTAACTTTGGATTGGAGATGCTTAATGTGAGTCTGGAAGGAGAGTTTACAGTCTAACCAGACACCTAGGTATTTGTAGTTGTCCACATACTCTAGGTCAGACCCGTCAAGAGTAGTGATTCTAGTCGGGTGGGCAGGTGCCAGCAGCGTTCGATTGAAGAGCATGCATTTAGTTTTACTTGTGTTTAAGAGCAGTTGGAGGCTACGGAAGGAGTGTTGTATGGCATTGAAGCTCGTTTGGAGGTTTGTTAACACAGTGTCCAATGAAGGGCCAGATGTATACAAAATGGTGTCCTCTGCGTAGAGGTGGATCTGAGACTCACCAGCAGCAAGAGCGACATCATTGATATACACAGAGAAAAAAGTCGGCGGAATGGGCAAGTTGCAGTGGAGGGTGCAGAGCTGGTGACCGGGGTAGGGGTAGCCCGGTGGAAAGCATGGCCAGCCGTAGCAAAATACTTATTGAAATTCTCGATTATTGTAAATGTATCGGTGGTGATAGTGTTTCCTAGCCTCAGTTCAGTGGGCAGCTGGGAGGAGGTGCTCTTATTCTCCATGGACTTTACAGTGTCCCAAAACTTTTTGGAGTTAGTGCTACAGGATCCAAATTTCTGTTTGAAAAAGCTAGCCTTTGCTTTCCTAACTGCTTGTGTATATTGGTTCCTAACTTCCCTGAAAAGTTGCATATCGCGGGAGCTATTCGATGCTAATGCAGTACGCCACAGGATGTTTTTGTGCTGGTCAAGGGCAGTCAAGTCTGGGGTGAACCAGGGGCTATATCTGTTCTTAGTTCTGCATTTTTTGAATGGGGCATGCTTATTTAAGATTGAGAGGAAAGCACTTTTAAAGAACAACCAGGCATCCTCTACTGACGGAATGAGATCGATATCCATCCAGGATACCCGGGCCAGGTCAATTAGGAAGGCCTGCTCGCTAAAGTGTTTTAGGGAGCGTTTGACAGTGATGAGGGTTGGTCGTTTGACTGCGGACCCATTACGGACGCAGGCAATAAGGCAGTGATCGCTGAGATCCTGGTTGAAGACAGCGGAGGTGTATTTAGAGGGTAAGTTAGTCAGGATGATATCTATAAGGGTGCCCATGTTTACGGATTTAGGGTTGTACCTGGTAGGTTCCTTGATAATTTGTGTGAGATTGAGGGCATCTAGTTTGGATTGTAGGATGGCCGGGGTGTTAAGCATATCCCAGTTTAGGTCACCAAGCAGTACGAACTCTGAGGATAGATGGGGGGCAATCAATTCACATATGGTGTCCAGGGCACAGCTGGGGGCTGAGGGGGGTCTGTAGCAAGCGGCAACAGTGAGAGAGACTTATTTCTGGAAAGGTGGATTTTTAGAAGTAGGAGCTCATACTGTTTGGGCACAGACCTGGATAGCATGATGTATCTCTGCAGTAGATTGCAACTCCACCCCCTTTGGCAGTTCTATCTAGACGGAAAATGTTGTAGTTGGGGATGGACATTTCTGAATTTTTGGTGGCCTTCCTAAGCCAGGATTCAGACACTGCGTGAACATCAGGGTTGGCGGGGTGTGCTAACGCAGTGAATAACTCAAACATAGGGAGGAAGCTTCTGATGTTAACATGCAAAAAAACAATGCTTTTACGGTTACAGAAGTCAACAAATGATAGCTCCTGGGGAGTAGGAGTGATACTGGGGGCTGCAGGGCCTGGGTTAGCCTCTACATCACCAGAGGAACAGAGGAGGACTAGAATAAGGATACGGCTAAAGGCTTTAAGAACTGGTCTTCTGGTGCGTTGAGTACAGAGAGTAAAGGGGGCAGATTTCCGGGCGTTGTAGAATAGATTCAGGGCATTATGTACAGACAAGGATATGGAAGGATATGAGTACAGTGGAGGTAAACCTAAGCGTTGGGTAACAATGAAAGAGATAGCATCACTGGAGGCACCGATTGAGCCGGTCTCCGCGTGTATGGGGGGTGCCAAGAAGGGATCCTGTGTTGTCACGTTTTTGTAGCAGGTTAGAATAATTAACGTAGCAGGTTAGGATAATTAGGTTAAGGTTAGGAAAAGGGTTAGGGTTAGATAAAAATGCAACAAACTTTTGAGATTCGTTTGACAGAAGCTGGATCCCATCTAGCCATGACCCTCAATATGGCGACCGGAGTATGGGCGAATGGGTGTGTCGAAAGGAAAGTAGTGGGCGTGTGGAAAGGAGTGGGTGTGTCGAAAGCGCTCTGCTATTGGTTACATGGTTTTGATTGAGTTATTTTATTTTCTTCTTCCGGTTCTTACCACGCAGCTACATTGAGCTACATTTTACATTACATTTGAGTCATTTAGCAGACGCTCTTATCCAGAGCGACTTACAGGAGCAATTAGGGTTAAGTGCCTTGTTCAAGGGCACATCGACAGATTTTTCACCTAGTCGGCTCGTGGATTAGAACCAGCGACCTTTCGGTTACTGGCACAACGCTCTTAACCACTAAGCTACCTGCCGCCCCAGCTACCATACCACGAGAGTTTAGACTTCTGTTATGAAGCCAGAGGATGAGTCTGCATCTTATTTCACTGTTAGTTTTACACAAACGATTGTACATTTGCAGTTATAAAACTGACGATTGTTTATTATTAAAAAGTACTGATGATGGGTACTGTCAGCCTGGTCTCATAGACTAGAAGTAACATAGTAAACGTAAATCCAGGATGGATTGGTATGGTTAGTATGGTACGGTTACATAAGATGGAAGGTTGCTTAAGGCATAAACGAAAGGAGGGTGGTTGGTCTGGCGTATACAGTGAACGTCTAGCAACCCAAAGGTTGCGTGTCCAAATCTCATCATGGGACGACTTTAGCAACTTTGCAGCTACTCACTACTTTTTTTAGCTACTTTGCAACTATTTAGCATGTTAGCTAACCTTTCCCCTAACCAACCTTAACCCTAACACCTAGCTAGCGTTAGCCACAAGAAATTGGAATTTGTAACATGTTTTGATGGACATCCACAAATGAATACATACCATACTAAACGTAATGTATCATTCTAAATGGAGTATCTCGGATTTACATACAGATTAATACGAAATACTCTGAGACCACTGTGGTTCTGTTGCCTGCTTACTGTGACTGTGGTGCTGTTGCCTGCGCTTAATGTGACTGTGGTTCTGTTGCCTGCTTACTGTGACTGTGGTTCTGTTGCCTGTGCTTACTGTGACTGTGGTTCTGTTGCCTGCACTTAATGTGACTGTGGTTCTGTTGCCTGTGCTTACTGTGACTGTGGTTCTGTTGCCTGCGCTTAATGTGACTGTGGTTCTGTTGCCTGTGCTTAATGTGACTGTGGTGCTGTTGCCTGCGCTTAATGTGACTGTGGTTCTGTTGCCTGTGCTTAATGTGACTGTGGTACTGTTGCCTGCAAGCATGTACCAAAACTCGTGATCTTGGTGTGTGTATGTGCTGGACAGTGAGACGGAACTGGGGTACAGGGTGCAGACTAACTGTGACAAAGGTTGTCTCATTCTGAGAACAATAGGTGTTAAAACAACAGGAAATCTCACCAGACGTAGTTCCTCAAAAGTAGATGAATGACCCCTTGACCCTGGCAAGCAAGCCTCTTTCGCTGTCTGCTTAGATGATGTGGGGCTTGACACCCACACACATACACACACCAAGTTTGAACCTTTTTTCCCCAGCAACAGGCCTTAGCCAGGACAACAGCTTTATCATTAGTGAGCAGGATTCAACACTTTGCTCTGGTTTCAGTAGATTGAGAGGAACCGGGTCTTTCCCTTCTGACTAGCAGGAAACCATAGGTCTTTCCTGTCAGCGCTTGGCTGTACGCCCAGACATCATGTCCATACTTCTCTAAAACTAGGTTCTTATGTTACACACACAGAACAGTTAGAAACAGGCCCATACCCATGCATATGATCTAGTTATATCAACAATCTCAGAAATAACACCTAAGCAACCAGGCTTAAAGAAAAAGCTTCTACTACACAAGCATGATAAAGGTTTAACAGAAATGTCCATGACAACACGCTGTCCTATACGCCGATCCAGAGCATCCCAAACATGCTCAATGTGTGACATGTCTGGTGAGTTTGCAGGCCATTTTCAGCTTCCAGGAATCGTGTCCAGATCCTTGCGACATGGGGCCGTGCATTATCATGCTGAAACATGAGGTGATGGCGGCGGATGAATGGCACGACAATGGGGCCTCAGGATCTCATCACGGTATCTCTGTGCATTCAAATTGCCATCGATTAAATGCAAATGTGTTCGTTGTCCGTAGCTTATGCCTGCCCATACCATAACCCCACCGCCACCATGGGCACTCTTGTTCACAACGTTGACATCAGCAAACCGCTCGAAGGTGAGCATTTTCCCACTGAAGTCGGTTATGACGCAGAACTGCAGTCAGGTCAAAACCCTGGTGAGGACGACGAGCACGCAGATGAGCATCCCTGAGACGGTTTCTGACAGTTTGTGCAGAAATCCTTCGGTTGTGCAAACCCAGAGTTTCATCAGCTGTCCGGGTGGCTGGTCTCAGACGATCCCGCAGGTGATAAAGCCGGATGTGGAGGTCCTGGACTGGTGTGGTTACAAGTGGTCTGTGGTTGTGAGACCGGTTGGACGTACTGCCAAATTCTCTAAAACGACATTGGAGGTGGCTTATGGCAGAGAAATGAACATTGAATTATCTGGCAACAGCTCTGGTGGTCATTCCTGCAGTCAGCATGCCAATTGCACGCTCCCTGTCAGATGGGGCTCTGATCTAAAGTAGTGGACTATAAGGGAATAGGGTGCTATTTAGGGTACTATTTAGGGTGCTATGAGATGTTTAATGGCTGTGAGCCTTGACAGAAGAGTCATCCTTGATCCCTTGATTTGATTGATCATTTATCCTTCATTTATACAGGTTGAGCCCATTCACATTAAACATGTCACTTACAGCAGAGATCTGTCCACATATACACACCTGTCTGTCATTTACAGCAGAGATCTGTTCACATATACACACCTGTCTATCTGTCATTTACAGCAGAGATCTGTTCACATATACACACCTGTCTGTCACTTACAGCAGAGATCTGTTCACATATACACACCTGTCTGTCATTTACAGCAGAGATTCTGTCCACAGAGAAAAATATATGAAACATGTTGAGATATCTTCTATGGCAGGGGTGTCAAACTCATTCCATGGAGGGCCTAGTGCAGCATTTCCCAAACTCAGTTCTGGGGCCCTCAACGGGTGCATGTTTTGGTTTTTGCCCTAGCTGATTTCAAATAGTCAAAGCTTGATGATGAGTTCATTATTTGAATCAGCTGTGTAGTGCTGGGGGCAAAAAATAAAACAACCAACCGTTGGGGTCCCCAGGACCGAGTTTGGGAAACAGTGGCCTAGTGTCTGCTTTTTCCTTTCAACGAAGACCTAGACAACCAGGTGAGGGGAGTTCCTTACTAATCAGTGACCTAGACAACCAGGTGAGGGGAGTTCCTTACTAATCAGTGGCCTAGACAACCAGGTGAGGGGAGTTCCTTACTAATCAGTGACCTAGACAACCAGGTGAGGGGAGTTCCTTACTAATCAGTGACCTAGACAACCAGGTGAGGGGAGTTCCTTACTAATCAGTGACCTTAGTTCATCAATCAAGGGAGGAGTGAAAGATCCATAGACACTAGGCCCTCCGTGGAATGAGTTTGATATGTGTTCTACGGAGTGGCTGCGCTTCTGGACTTTCTGTAACACTAATGGTTCGTAGCTGAAGATAGAGATTTCTGCACATGTGAGAGACTAAGTTTACATACACCAGTAAACTAGTAAAAACCCACATCACGTTCCAGTGCTAGAGACCGTGAAGACAGGACACCAGTAAACTAGTAAAAACCCACATCACGTTCCAGTGCAAGAGACCGTGGAGACAGGACACCAGTAAAGAACAGTACAATGCACTATACCTTATGTCACTCTGGTATAAAGACCATCCGCTAGCTAAATGAAAAATATATAAATACACTTTCAACACACAAAAAACCACAGACAGTCTGATTTGTATGAGGTTTATCTTTATTGAAGTTGATCATGTGATAGTTGTGGTCTAGTGCGACAACAACAACTTCAGGTAATCTAAATGGAGGAGGATAGTGCCACTTCAGCACAGTACTACTACAACAACACAGCCTTGAACATTTGGTCATCAGGTTAACACGTTCTCTAGCCTCACACACACCACGCCCCGTCCTCATCTCCTTATGGTAAGGTGTGGCCGTTCCCATGGTAACGACAGTTAAGACTGCAGGGGGTGGAGCCAAGATAAGAAGGATGGAAAGTAGGCGAGAGGCTAGATGAGAAGAAACTAACTAGGGAGAACTCTTCTATTCTCCCTCCCTCCCTCCCCCCTCCCTCCTTCAGTTGCTAGCTTGCTGTAGTCGCTATACCACAAGGCACGCTTTGATGATGTCACAAAGAGAGAATGGTGGAACTCTGGCGACTCCAAAGATTCTGAGCGTAGGTTTTCCTCCTCCAGTCGACAACGCAACGCCCCCTCTAGTCCCCACGCAAAAATGGAACTGGAGAGGGAGAGAGGGAGGGAGAGAGACCGTCAAAACCACAGCCAGATAGTGTGTGTAGGTAGTGTGTTTAGGTAGTGTGTGTGTGTGTGTTACCTGCGTAGGGGACTACTCTCCGAGGGGAATGATTTCTTCGTTGATAAAAAACTCGATGGTCTCCTCCTCCCAGTCATCTGTGTTACTGTCCAGCTCATCAGTGTCCACTCCTAGAGACAGAGAGAGTTCAGGGGTTACGCTTAGTCAGCCTGGTCCAAGCCAGAACGGGCCATAGGGTAGGAGTCTATCTCCTGTTTCTGTAGCAGTAATGCTGGTCCAGAACGGCCCATAGGGTAGGAGTCTATCTCCTGTTTCTGTAGCAGTAATGCTGGTCCAGAACGGCCCATAGGGTAGGAGTCTATCTCCTGTTTCTGTAGCAGTAATGCTGGTCCAGAACGGCCCATAGGGTAGGAGTCTATCTCCTGTTTCTGTAGCAGTAATGCTGGTCCAGAACGGCCCATAGGGTAGGAGTCTATCTCCTGTTTCTGTAGCAGTAATGCTGGTCCAGAACGGCCCATAGGGTAGGAGTCCATCTCCTGTTTCTGTAGCAGTAATGCTGGTCCAGAACGGCCCATAGGGTAGGAGTCCATCTCCTGTTTCTGTAGCAGTAATGCTGGTCCAGAACGGACCATAGGGTAGGAGTCTATCTCCTGTTTCTGTAGCAGTAATGCTGGTCCAGAACGGCCCATAGGGTAGGAGTCTATCTCCTGTTTCTGTAGTGAGGCAGTTGGATGAAAGTGTCAGGGCCGATAGAGGTGGAGACGGAGGGTTCTACGTACCTCCTCTGAGTTGCAGGCGGGCGGACTTCTGGTCCTCGTGTTGTTGCAGGGCAGTCTCTCTGTAGCTACGATAGTCCTCCATCATACTCCTCCTCTTGTCCACCAGCTCCTTAGAGGCCTTCGACTGGCTCAGACGATCCTTCTGCTCAAAGATCTTGGAGTACTTCTTCAGGTCCTTCTTGATCACCTGGGGAGTAATTCTATTCATTATTACACGTATGGAAACCCAGACGAAACATGTTACACGACTGTCAAAACCAAGGGGTCCCAGCTAAGCCCATGGCAAGGCAGTCATAGACACATAACAACAAAACTCTTTCAACACACAGAAGTTTAGACAGAAGTCACTACTTGTCAAGACACTGAGCGAGTTTTGGATTCTTTTGGTTTTAACAATATTGATGCCAGAGTAAATCCCCTTTATAAATACTGGGGCCACACACACATTAACCCCCCCCCCCCCCCCCCACCCAGTACGTACCTTGATGGTGTCCTGTGTGAGCAGGGTAGCGGGACGAGGTCTCCACAGCAGCTGACAGAAGCGATCCTTGTTGTTCTTCTGGAGGAGACGACCCTGGAAGGTCCAGAGCCAGTAGGCGTTGTCCACCTGGTGGAGAGACGACCCCTTTCAAATACACTTTATACGGCTCAGGTAAAAAACACACCGTTCTTCTATTCAACCTCAAATAAATACAGAAAAAGGACATCAACAAAACGAGGGATTTTCTGAAGTTCTGTCTGCGTGTTGTGGTGCAAACCACCCTTCTTTTGGACCTCCATTTAAAAAACATGGCAGTTGGAGTTTATTCCTTGTGTGTGTGTGTGTGTGTGTGGGGGGGGGGGGGGGTACCTTGTGACTCCACCAGGACACCGAGGTGACTAAGTATTATTGTGTGTGTGTGTGTGTGTGTGGGGGGGGGGGGGTATCTTGTGACTCCACCAGGACACCGAGGTGACCAGGTATTATTGTGTGTGTGTGTGTGTGTGTGGGGGGGGGGGGGTTACCTTGTGACTCCACCAGGACACCGAGGTGACCAGGTATCTGTGTGTAGGTGTGGGGGGGGGGGGGGTACCCTGTGACTCCACCAGCCAGGGTACAGTGTTCAGCATGTTATCATGGTGCGTCAGGGTAGGAAGGGTGACCAGGTACTCGCCCAGTAGATCCCCGTCATACTGGGGAAGAGCACAGGGTAACCACACAGGTGAAGAGAAGGGTCCCAGCCCTAATACGCCCCGTTCATACTGGGGGAGAGCACAGGGTTAACACACACTGAAGAGACAGGTCGTCCAGTCTAAATACGCCCCGTTCATACTGGGGGAGAGCACAGGGTTAACACACACAGAGAGACAGGTCGTCCAGTCTAAATACGCCCCGTTCATACTGGGGGAGAGCACAGGGTTAACACACACACTGAAGAGACAGGTCGTCCAGTCTAAATACGCCCCGTTCATACTGGGGGAGAGCACAGGGTTAACACACACACTGAAGAGACAGGTCGTCCAGTCTAAATACGCCCCGTTCATACTGGGGGGAGAGCACAGGGTTAACACACACACTGAAGAGACAGGTCGTCCAGTCTAAATACGCCCCGTTCATACTGGGGGGAGAGCACAGGTTACACCTCACTGAAGAGTACCAGGTCCGTCCAGTCAAAATACGTCCCCTTTCATACTGGTGGAGAGCAACAGGGTTAGACCACACACACTGAAAGAGACCGGTCGTCCATCTAAATCCACCCCGTTCATACTGGGGGAGAGCACAGGGTTAACACACACCCTGGGAGAGACAGGTCGTCCAGTCTAAATACGCCCCGTTCATACTGGGGGAGAGCACAGGGTTAACACACACTGAAGAGACAGGTCGTCCAGTCTAAATACGCCCCGTTCATACTGGGGGAGAGCACAGGGTTAACACACACACTGAAGAGACAGGTCGTCCAGTCTAAATACGCCCCGTTCATACTGGGGGAGAGGACAGGGTTAACACACACTGAAGAGGCAGGTCGTCCAGTCAAATAGCCCGGTTCTGTTGGGGGAGGAGGAAGGGGTTAACCCACAGACACTGAAGAGACAGGTTCGCCAGTCTAAATATCCAGCACGTCAGAACTTCTGAGTCCAGCCAACACATGACGTCCTGAGGACCCAGAAGATGCGTGGCCTGCTCTGTCAAAATCTGGGGAGGAGGAGAGACAGAGGAAGGGAAGGAGGAGGTAGAGAAAGGTATAGGAGAGGAGAGGGAAGGGACACGAGATGAAGGAAGGGGATGGAGCGGCTGAGCAGCAGAAGAGATGGAGGTCGAAGAGCGGGCGAGAGGGGAGAACGGAGAGGGGGGGAGGGGAGAGGGGAGGAGGGAGAGAGGGGGAGGGGGAGGAGGGAGGGGGAGGAGGAGGAGGAGGGGGGGGGAAGAGAGAGGAGGAGGGGGAGGAGAGAGGAGGGAGGGGGGGAGAGGAGGGAGGGGGAGGAGGGGAGGGGGGGGAGGGGGGAGGGGGGGAGAGAGGAAGGGGGAGAGAGGAAGGGGGAGAGAGATACAGTCAATACAATGTTTAAGGTTTGAGTTCCTTTCTATGTGTGATATTTTAATGTAAAGGTTGTTACTCACTGATGAGTTCTATCTTCCCGTTGTTCTTGACGTGGTAGAAGGAGGCGTTGATTCTGGGAGATTCACCGTGCAGGACGGCAAACTTGCTGCCGTTAGGCTCCCACGCAAACGCTATGATGCTCTCCGCTAGGGGGGGACAACACTGGTGTTACTACACCTAGTGGTGTTACTAGTGGTGTTACTATACCCAGTGGTGTTACTATACCCAGTGGTGTTACTATACCCAGTGGTGTTACTATACCCAGTGGTGTTACTAGTGGTGTTACTATACCTAGTGGTGTTACTAGTGGTGTTACTATACCCAGTGGTGTTACTAGTGGTGTTACTATACCCAGTGGTGTTACTATACCCAGTGGTGTTACTAGTGGTGTTACTATACCCAGTGGTGTTTACTAGTGGTGTTACTATACCCAGTGGTGTTACTATACCCAGTGGTGTTATATACCTAGTGTGTTACTATACCACAGTTGTGTTACTATACCCAGTGGTGTTACTAGTGGTGTTACTATACCCAGTGGTGTTACTATACCCAGTTGTGTTACTATACCCAGTGGTGTTACTATACCCAGTGGTGTTACTATACCCAGTGGTGTTACTATACCTAGTGGTGTTACTATACCAGTGGTGTTACTATACCCAGTGTGTTACTATACCAGTGGTGGGTTACTATACCTATGGGTTTTTGGTTACTATACCCAGTGGCTGTGTTACTATACCCAGTGGTGTTACTATACCCAGTGGTGTTACTATACCTAGTTGTGTTACTATACCCAGTGGTGTTACTATACCTAGTGGTGTTACTAGTGGTGTTACTATACCCAGTGGTGTTACTATACCTAGTTGTGTTACTATACCTAGTTGTGTTACTATACCCAGTGGTGTTACTATACCTAGTGTGTGTTACTATACCCAGTGGTGTTACTATACCTAGTGGTGTTACTATACCCAGTGGTGTTACTAGTGGTGTTACTATACCCAGTGGTGTTACTAGTGGTGTTACTATACCCAGTGGTGTTACTATACCCAGTGGTGTTACTATACCTAGTGGTGTTACTATACCTAGTGGTGTTACTATACCTAGTGGTGTTACTATACCCAGTGGTGTTACTAGTGGTGTTACTATACCCAGTGGTGTTACTATACCCAGTGGTGTTACTATACCCAGTGGTGTTACTATACCCAGTGGTGTTACTACACCTAGTGGTGTTACTATACCCAGTGGTGTTACTACACCTAGTGGTGTTACTATACCCAGTGGTATTACTATACCCAGTGGTGTTACTATACCCAGTTGTGTTACTATACCCAGTGGTGTTACTAGTGGTGTTACTATACCCAGTGGTGTTACTATCTAGTTGTGTTACTATACCTAGTTGTGTTACTATACCAGTGGTGTTACTAGTGGTGTTAACCCTTATACCTAGTGGTGTTACTATACCCAGTGGTGTTACTATACCTAGTGGTGTTACTATACCCAGTGGTGTTACTATACCTAGTGGTGTTACTATACCCAGTGGTGTTACTATACCTAGTGGTGTTACTATACCTAGTTGTGTTACTATACCTAGTGGTGTTACTATACCTAGTGGTGTTACTATACCTAGTGGTGTTACTAGTGGTGTTACTATACCCAGTGGTGTTACTATACCAGTGGTGTTACTAGTGGTGTTACTATACCAGTGGTGTTACTATTTACAAGCGGTAGTGTTATACTAGTGGTGTTACTAAACCCAGTGGTGTTACTAGATAACCAGTGGTGTTACTATACCCAGTGGTGTTACTATACCAGTGTGTTTTTTTACATACCTAGTGGTGGTGTACTAACCCAGTGGTTGTGTGTTACTACAGTGGTGTTACTACACCTAGTGGTGTTACTAGTGGTGTTACTATACCCAGTGGTGTTACTACACCTAGTGGTGTTACTATACCCAGTGGGTTACTATACCCAGTGGTTGGTGTATAACCCAGTGGTGTTACTAACCCAGTGGTGTTACTATACCCAGTGGTGTTTACTAACCAGTGGTGTTACTTACACCCAGTGGTGTTACTACACCTAGTGGTGTTACTACCCAGTGGTGTTACTATACCTAGTGGTGTTACTATACCCAGTGGTGTTACTATACCCAGTGGTGTTACTACACCCAGTGGTGTTACTAGTGGTGTTACTATACCTAGTGGTGTTACTATACCTAGTGGTGTTACTATACCCAGTGGTGTTACTATACCTAGTGGTGTTACTATACCCAGTGGTGTTACTACCCAGTGGTGTTACTAACCCAGTGGTGTTACTATACCGTGGTTTACAGTGGTGTTACTATACCCAGTGGTGTTACTAACCCAGTGGGTGGGTTACTATACCCAGTGGTGTTAGTATACCTAGTGGTGTTACTATACCCAGTCTTGTCAGAGTGTGTTTCTGTCTGTCTGTCTTGTCAGAGTGTGTGTCTGTCTGTCTGTCCGTCTCGTCAGTGTAGTACCAGTTTTGGATTCCGGGTCTCCCTTCATCTCGACCACGTCAACAGGAACCTGCTTCTCACTATCGTGAAGAATCTAAAGTTGGGTCACAACCTGAGAGGGATAGAGGGGTAACTTGTAAACTAGGGTGTCTAACAACATGCAGGTCAACATTTACACCCCCATCCCCACCCCCTCACGCTTTCCCCCCCCTTTTCCCTATGCCTCTCACCCATCTCATAACCCTGAGTTCCTTTAGGTGTGCGGTCCACCTTGACACAGAGGTAGTCTCCCTGTCTCTGCCAGTGTAGTTTACAGTCGACCACATTGAAGAGGTTCCTGACTCTGATTCCTGTACTGGGGAAGCTGCTCAGGTCACACCCTGGTGGTTACCTTTGTCTATCAGGGACTACCAGAACGCTGTGATGTTATCACCTGGGGTACACAGGAGATGTCTACAGAGGGGAGGACAGGGGTTACTACAACGCTGTGTGTTATCCACCTGGGGACAGGAGATCACCTTGACAGAAGGGGAGGGAGGATTTATACAACCTGTGTGTCATCACCATGGGGGACCCAGGAGAAGTCCCTACACAAGGGGGGAAAGGGATTTATACTACACCCACATGGATGTACAGGTAATACATTAACCAGTTAATAATGACTGGCTACAGGTAAAATCTGATGCATACAAGGAACGGACATTTCCATGTAGAGCTAATAGGAACACACATCGCATGGTCGTACAGTCAAAAGGCATAGTGATGAAATGCAAAGTACAAGTGGTTTACAGTCAAAAGGCTATAGCCTGTTTTGAACATGCAACAGTGTAGCAAGGCATGGTCTTACAGTCAAAAGGTATAGCTGTTATTGACATGGTGCAACCAGTGCAACTATGGTTTACAGTCCAAGGTTATAGTGTTTAATACCTATGGTTTACAGTGGTTACATCCCTGGTGTTACTATACCTAGTGTTTTTACTAGTGTGTTACTATACCAGTGGTGTTCACTATACCCCGTGGTGTACTAACCAGTGGTGTTACTACACCTATGGTGTTACTATACCTAGTGGTGTTATTATACCCAGGGGGTTTCTATCCTGTGGGTTTACTTACCCAGTGGTGTTATAACCAGGGTGTTCTAGTGGGGGTTTTCTAACCCTGGTGTTCTAACCTATGGTTTACTATACCCATGGGGTTACTAACCCAGTGGGGGTTACATGGTGTTACATACCCAGTGGTGTTTTAATAGTGGGGTTACAAACCCCGTGGTGTTATACACCCAGTGTGTTAATAGGGTTTATATACCCAGTGGTGTTTCTTACCCAGGGGATTTACAACCCGTGGTGTTCTGGGTGGTTCAATCCGTGGGTTTCTAACCCATGGTTCTGGGTGTTTACTATACCCGTGGTGTTACTATACCCCTGGTGTTACTAGTTTTTTTACTACACCCAGTGGTGTACTATGGTGTTTTCTAACCAGTGGTGTTTTCTACACCCAGTGGTGTTACACACCCATGGTGTTACATACCAGTTGTGTTACACACCTGTGGTGTTATACACCCCCAGTGGTGTTACTACACCCATGGGGTTTACATACCCAGTTTGTAAAATGTGTTTTTGTCTGCCTGTTGTCGTGTGTTTTCTGTCTGTCTGTCTGTCTGTCAGTGTGGTTTCTGTCTTCTGCGTCAGAGTGTGTTTTTGTCGCCTTCTGTCGAGTGTGTTTCTGTCTGCCTGTCTTTGAGGTTCCCCCTCCGTTTATCGTGTAACATTTTGGATTCCGGGTCTCCCTTTATTAAAACCATCAACAAACCCCTTTTTCTTCTCCTAAGATCTCAAAATTTGGGCACCAACCCGAGGGAGGGGAGGGAACTTGTATATGGTTTTAACATAATGCAGTCACATTTTACACCCCCCCACCCTTCCCCCCACCCCCCCCGCCCCCCCCCCTCCCCTCCTAACCTAGTTCCTTTGGTGTGGGTCCCCTGACACAGAGGTAGTCTCCCTGTCTCTGCCAGTGTAGTTTACAGTCGACCACATTGAAGAGGTTTTCCCGACTTGACTCCCGTCTGGAGGGAAGCTGCTCAAGGGCACCCCGGCTGGGAATCTTTGTCCTCAGGGACCCAAACGTGTGATGTTTTCACCTGGGACCAAGAAGTCCCACAGAAGGGAGGGGGGTTTATACACCTTTTATTTTTTCACCCCGGGGGGCCCGGAGAAGCCCTACAGAAGGGGAGGAGAGGATTTATACAACGCTGTGATGTCATCACCTGGGGACCAGGAGAAGTCCCTACAGAAGGGGAGGATTTATATACACACACACACAGGACGTACAGGTAATACGTTAACAGTAAAATGACATGGCCAACAGATAATACTCTGCATGCATACAGGACGAATTTCCCTCTAGAGCTTAATAAAAAAATGCAACAATACAAGGCTATGGCTTACGTCAAAAAGGGTATACCGTTTTGAAATGCAAAAATAGCAAGTATGGTTTTAACAAAATTACTGTTTTCCCAAAAAAAGGGCTTAATAAAAACAACCGTTATTAACTGCAAAATAGCAAAGGGTATGGGCTTACATCAAAAAGGCTATAGCCTGTTATTGAACATGCAACAATAGCAAGGCTATGGTCTTACAGTCAAAAGGCTATAGCCTGTTATTGAACATGCAACAATAGCAAGGCTATGGTCTTACAGTCAAAAGGCTATAGCCTGTTATTGAACATGCAACAATAGCAAGGCTATGGTCTTACAGTCAAAAGGCTATAGCCTGTTATTGAACATGCAACAATAGCAAGGCTATGGTCTTACAGTCAAAAGGCTATAGCCTGTTATTGAACATGCAACAATAGCAAGGCTATGGTCTTACAGTCAAAAGGCTATAGCCTGTTATTGAACATGCAACAATAGCAAGGCTATGGTCTTACAGTCAAAAGGCTATAGCCGTTATTGAACATGCAACAATAGCAAGGCTATGGCCTTACAGTCAAAAGGCTATAGCCTTTTATTGAACATGCAACATAGCAAGCTTGGTTACAGTCAAAAGGCTAGTATAAAGACTCTATTAAAGCTTACAACAATAGCAAGGTATGGCTCTTACCAGTAAAAAGGCCTATTAGACTGTATAACATGAAAATAGCAAGTATGGTCTAACCGTAAAAGCTTATAAGACCTGTTATGAACATAGCAACACCTAGTAAAAGAAGCTATGTCTTACACAAAAGGCTATACCTGTATAAGACATTACAACGATACAGCTATAGCTTACAGTAAACTAACCTGTATAGACATCAACAATAGCAAGCCCTATGGCTTACAGTCAAAAGTATAGCTGTATTGAACAGAAAATAGCAAGCCTAGTATTAACAGTACAACGGTATAGCCTAGATAGTTATGAACATCAACCCTAGTATAAAGACATACTAAGATGCACAGAAAGACTAACCGATAAGAACCAGATAAAACTAGTCAAATAACTGATAGGCTATAAACACCCCTACTCCAAAGATGCATATAATTGAGACAGATTACTAACCGATTAAGTACACCCTAGATGATTAATGATGACATATAACTAACCGATTAAGGTAACACCCCTAGATAAAGACATACTTACTTGAGACAGATAAACAACCGTAGGTTAAAACCCATATAAGACATGACTACGATACAGTAGTAATAACGACATTAATTAACCCTGATAAAACATACACTTGATACAGAATAACTAACCGATAAGGGTAACACCCCTAGTATAAAGACATTACTAACCGATAAACACCCCTAGTATAAAGACAATTACTGAACAGATAAACTACCCGATAAAGGAATTACTAAGATAAACACCTGTATAAAGGACATTAACTAACCGATAAACACCCCTAGTATAAAGACATATTACTAGACAGTAACTACCGATAGTAACACCCCTAGCATAAAGACATACTACGAGACAGATAAACACCACTAGGTAACACCCCTTAGTATAACGACATGAACTTACTTGATGACAGATATAACTAAACCGATTTAAGGGTTAACCACCCCTCAGCATTAAAGGCCATGCACTTTACTTGATGGACAGATATAACACTAACCGGATTTACAGTGTTAAGGACCCCCCAGTCTAAAGGACATGACTTACTTGATGACAGATATAACTAACCGGATTAAGGGTTAAACACCCCTAGCATCAACGACCATGACTAACTTGATGACAGATATAACTAACCGATTAAGGGTTAACACCCCTAGCATAAAGACATGACTTACTTGATGACAGATATAACTAACCGATTAAGGGTTAACACCCCTAGCATAAAGACATGACTTACTTGACGACAGATATAACTAACCGATTAAGGGTTAACACCCCTAGCATAAAGACATGACTTACTTGATGACAGATATAACTAACCGATTAAGGGTTAACACCCCTAGCATAAAGACATGACTTACTTGATACCAGTGATCTTCAGACTCTTCTTGTCCAACAGGCCCATGGACTATGAAAGGAAAAAACAGCTTGTTAAGTATCAACGTATCAGTCTGTTTTAGATACAGAGACACTCAGTAGAATTCAGACTGTTAGTGGGGCTGGTCACTGAGGAGAAATGTAAAGGTGACTTACTGGGGTCTCCTACAATAGATAATGTGGACTTACTGGGGTCTCCTACAATAGATAATGTGGACTTACTGGGGTCTCCTACAATAGATAATGTGGACTTACTGGGGTCTCCTACAATAGATAATGTGTGTTGGTGTGGACTTACTGGGGTCTCCTACAATAGATAATGTGTGTTGGTGTGGACTTACTGGGGTCTCCTACAATAGATAATGGGTGTTGGTGTGGACTTACTGGGGTCTGCTACAATAGATAATGTGTGTTGGTGTGGACTTACTGGGGTCTGCTACAATAGATAATGTGTGTTGGTGTGGACTTACTGGGGTCTGCTACAATAGATAATGTGTGTTGGTGTGGACTTACTGGGGTCTCGTAGATGCTCAGTGTGTCCTGGGTCATCCTGGCAAAGAACTTCCCATCGTGACTCCACCTGGAGAGACACACACATTACAACACTGCAGTTAGGGAGAGAACCAAGACACACCCACATTACAACACTGCAGTTAGGGACAGAACCAAGACACACCCACATTACAACACTGCAGTTAGGGACAGAACCAAGACACACCCACATTACAACACTGCAGTTAGGGACAGAACCAAGACACACCCACATTACAACACTGCAGTTTAGGGACAGAACCAAGACACACCCACATTACAACACTGCAGTTTAGGGACAGAACCAAGACCCAACGTGAGAGAAACAAGTTCTGCTACAGTTCTTAGCTACTTGAAGATGGAAAGACAGGAACAGGAGAAAGAGAGACAGAAAGAAAGACATGAAGACAGAAAGGGAGGTGTGTAATTGGTCCTTACTTGAAGATGGGCCAGTGGGCAGAACTCTCACAGTGGAAGCCTCTCTTCTTCTGGCCAGTCAGAATGTCCCAGATGATGATGGCCTGGGGGTCCTCCTTAGTGTCCATCAGGGGACTGAATGTCACTACGTACCTACCAAGCATTATAACAATAACATCAATACATGGGACGCATATAGCGCTTTTCAGGGACCCCAAAGTCGCTTAACAGGCGCTTATAACACATTTATGTAGCTTCATAAGGCTTCATACAGCTGACAGACAGGTTATAACCACACTAGGCTCACCGCGTACATGTAACTGCCAAAATAAAGGAAACACTTGAGTCAATGAGGGATACAACGTATATTGAAAGCAGGTGCTTCCACACAGCTGTGGTTCCTGAGTTAATTAAGCAATTAACATGTATAAAAATGCCCAGTTGACCATTATCTTGGCTACCATGGCTATAAGAAGAGATCTCAGAGACTTTGAAAGAGGTGTCTCAAAGGAGCGTAGGGGGTTTAAAGGGAGTTTGTGTCTCAGTCACTGGATCTCAACCCAATTTAACCCTTATGGGAGATTCTGGAGCGGCGCCTGAGACAGCGTTTTCCACCACCATCAACAAAACATCAAATGATGGAATTTCCTGTGGAAGAATGGTGTCACATCCCTCCAATAGAGTTCCAGACACTTGGAGAATCTATGCCAAGGAGCACTGAAGCTGTTCTGGCTCTTGGTGGCCCAACGACCTGTTAAGACACTTTATGTTGGGGTTTCCTTTATTTTGGCAGTTACCTGTACCTACCAAGCATTCTTTACATTTTACATTACATTTACGTCATTTAGCAGACGCTCTTATCCAGAGCGACTTACAAATTGGTGCGTTCACCTTATGATAGCCAGTGGGACAACCACTTTACAATTATTATTATTTTTTTTTATATATATTTTTCTAATTTATAATTTTAGAGTATATTTTTAATTTTCATTTGTTTTATATATTGTTTTTTTTTTATTGTTTTTTATTTTAAGATATATATTTTAAAATTAGACTACATAGTTACATTATGGCCTGAGGGTCCTCAGTTTCCATCAGGGAATGAAGCATTATAACAACTTAATGTAGCTTCATAAGGCTTCATAGATGTGATATAGACAGGCATTGATTATTAATTAGTGATTGGTTACCTCTCCCAGGGGAAGAAGTCGATCAGAGACACTCCCTGGTGGATGAATCTCTAGTTATTGATTATAGGTTATTGATAATGTGATTGGTTACCTCTCACAGGGGGAGAAGTCGATCAGAGACACCCCCTGGTGGCTGAAACGTTGGATCTGCTTGAACTTCTCTCCACCCCACAATGCAATGCCTCGCTGGTGGAACGTGGCCAGGTAGGTTCCCTTGGGAGACCAGCGGACATACGTCTCCGTCCAGCGCTACAGGGACACAACACAGTCACAGCACAATCTCAAAATCAATTAATATACACCACGGCAGACATTTTGATTAGACAATCAAGCCTTCTAGTTGTTAGTTAGATCTCACTACTTTTAAGCATCAAGGCCCTCAAAGTCCATCTGTAGATGTAGAATGATCAGTGCAGAAACAATTCTGATTGGTTGAACCATCGTCTCACTGCGCTGTCGTGATTGGTTGAACGGTTGACTCACCGCCCTCTCCTCGGAGACGATTGGATCCTTGGCGTCGTTGTTGAAGATGGCGGTCCTCTCTCCTGATTCGTAGATGACGCTGTACTGGTCACGACAGTCAGGATCCTCCATCCAGTGACGCATGTTACCCTGGCAACACAAACAGGAAGTCACCGTTAGCGATGACTTCTTCCTCTACAACACCGGCTGGGTATTCTCTGAATGGGTGGTTGAAGTGACAGTTGGTAACACTCACAAAGTCCTTGAAGGGCTGCTTCTCCGGAGTCTCCCACTCATCACTGATACTCATGTACCTGGGGCACAACATCACAAATCCACAGCAGACATTTCTATAATCACGTATATCCATGTCAAACGTTTCTGCCACGTTTTGCCTAGATGACCCAACACTAACCAGACACCCCTATAACAGCTGGAATGATGCCCTGAACCCCCCTGTGTGTTTGAGTCTTCTTACTTGTCGAAGTCGGTGAACACGTTGACTCTGAAGGTGTGCTGCTTGTCCAGCTTGTAGCCGTCAGCGTTCTTCACTGCCTCCAGAGCCTGAGTAGGAGCTCCATACTCCAGGAAGATGTACCTACAGAGGAGACATAACATGAACTACAGGTTGACTAACTATTGGTCTGGGTGGGATCCTCCAGGAAGATACACCTACAGAAGGATACGAATTAGGACATTAACTAGTTATGCATCATAATGTGTAACTTTCTCAAGTTGTCAAAAAGTGAATCCACATGACTGTATGGGAATGTAAGTTCTCTAACCTGGAATGACAAACCAATTGTTGATTATTTCCAAGAATGCTTCAGCTAGCAGGTACATGTACACAGAGCCACCTGCATGCTAGTACACGGATGCTGCAATTCCAGGGCAGACAAGTGTAAAACTCAGCCTCTAGATAGAGTACATCTGAGTGCAATGTCCTACACCTCGCTACATCCTGTCCTCCACCCTTCTATCTAGAGGCTATGTCCTCCACCCTTCTATCTAGAGGCTATGTCCTCCACCCTTCTATCTAGAGGCTATGTCCTCCACCCTTCTATCTAGAGGCTATGTCCTCCACCCTTCTATCTAGAGGCTATGTCCTCCACCCTTCTATCTAGAGGCTATGTCCTCCACCCTTCTATCTAGAGGCTATGTCCTCCACCCTTCTATCTAGAGGCTATGTCCTCCACCCTTCTATCTAGAGGCTATGTCCTCCACCCTTCTATCTAGAGGCTATGTCCTCCACCCTTCTATCTAGAGGCTATGTCCTCCACCCTTCTATCTAGAGGCTATGTCCTCCACCTCCATCCGTAACAGAACAAACATAGCTAGCTAACAGTCACTTTAGTGCGTGTCAGCCTTGGGGTAAAACTCTGTGGTTGACAAACACAAGGCTGTTTTCCCCCCAACATTAGGACTGTTTTCCTCAAGACATTGAGTCTGCTTCATGTTCTTTCCTCCCTCACTTCTTAGTATCGTGACAACTCTACACCCCTACTACACCCCTACTACAGCCTCCCTACACCCCTACTACAGCCTCCCTACTACAGCCTCCCTACACCCCTACTACACCCCTACACCAGCCTCCCTACTACAGCCTCCCTGCACCCCTACTACAGCCTCCCTGCACCCCTACTACAGCCTCCCTGCACCCCTACTACAGCCTCCCTACTACAGCCTCCCTACTACAGCCTCCCTACTACACCCCTACTACACCCCTACTACAGCCTCCCTACACCCCTACTACAGCCTCCCTGCACCCCTACTACACCCCTACTACAGCCTCCCTGCACCCCTACTACAGCCTCCCTACTACAGCCTCCCTACTACAGCCTCCCAACACCCCTACTACAGCCTCCCTACTACACCCCCTACTACAGCCTCCCTGCACCCCTACTACACCCCTACTACAGCCTCCCTACTACAGCCTCCCAACACCCCTACTACAGCCTCCCTACTACAGCCTCCCTACACCCCTACTACACCCCTACTACACCCCTACTACAGCCTCCCTACACCCCTACTACAGCCTCCCTACTACAGCCTCCCTACACCCCTACTACACCCCTACTACAGCCTCCCTACACCCCTACTACAGCCTCCCTACTACCAGCCTCCAACACCCCTACTACAGCCTCCCTACACCCCTACTACAGCCTCCCTACTACAGCCTCCCTACACCCCTACTACAGCCTCCCTGCACCCCTACTACAGCTCCCTACTACAGCCTCCCTACACCCCTACTACAGCCTCCTACACTACACCCCTACACCAGCCTCCTGCACCCCTACTACAGCCTCCCTACACCCCTACTACCAGCCTCCCTACACCCCCCTACTACAGCCTCCCTACTACAGCCCCTACCCTACACCCCTACTACAGCCTCCCTACAGCACCCCTACTAACCCCTACTACAGCCTCCCTGCACCCCTACTACAGCCTCCCTACACCCCTACTACAGCCTCCCTACACCCCTACTACAGCCTCCCTACACCCCTTACTACAGCCTCCCTGCACCCCTACTACACCCCTACTACAGCCTCCCTACACCCCTACTACAGCCTCCCTACTACAGCCTCCCTACACCCCTACTACACCCCTACTACAGCCTCCCTACACCCCTACTACAGCCTCCCTACTACAGCCTCCCTACACCCCTACTACAGCCTCCCTGCACCCCTACACCAGCCTCCCATACTACAGCCTCCCTACACCCCTACTACAGCCTCCCTACTACAGCCTCCCTACACCCCTACTACACCCCTACTACAGCTCCCTACTACAGCCTCCCTACACCCCTACTACAGCCTCCCTACTACAGCCTCCCTACACCCCTACTACACCCCTACACACCCTACTACAGCCTCCCTACACCCCTACTACAGCCTCCCTACACCCCTACTACAGCCTCCCTACACCAGCCTCCCTACACACCCCTACTACAGCTCCCTACACCCCATACGCCACCCTACTACAGCCTTCCCTACTACAGCCCCACTACAGCCTCCCTACACCCTACTATCCCACCATCCTACACCCCTAACAGCCTACCCCTACTACACGCCTCCCTACACCCTACCTAAGCTCACCTACTAAGCCTCCCTACACCCCCTACTACAGCCTCCCTACACCCTACTACACCCTATACACCCCTACTACAGCCTCCTCACCTATACACAGCCTCCTATACAGCCTCCCTACACCCCTACTACACCCCTACTACAGCCCTACTACAGCCTCCCTACACCCTGCTACTCACCCCTTAGTGAGTCCTTCAGGTCCCTCTACCGTCGGGTAGAACTCGTTAGTGATCTTGCCGAACTTGGAGAATATCTTGTGGATGACGTTCTTCAGCTTCTCCAGGCGCTCGGGGCCGACCTGGGGCACGTTGTCCACGACAACCACAGAGTCTATCCCGTCTGCCTCCTGGGGCTTCTCCCGCAGCAGGTCACCCAGCAACTCTACAGGGGGATGGAGGGGTGGGGTTGGAGGGATGGATGAGGGGGAAGGATGGATGAGGGGAGAGGGTGGAGGGAAAAGAGATTGTTAGTTGGTGTGGTAGTTTATCAAACCAGTGTTTTCCATACCATTGATTGTGTAGAGACAAAGATGGCCCCATGTAATAATAATGCCATTTAGAAGACACATTTATCCAAAGCGATTCGTGTGCGCGCATACATTTTTACATGTTTGAACAATTAACTGGAGGCCATGTCACCTAAGTTAGCTCTGTTGTCACCCAGAAAGTCAATTGACCATTTGTGTGCCAAAAGACCTATACATGTTGCTTTGGGGGTCTTAGCGCCACACCTGCTGAAAATTAAACTAGGGTAAAGGCTGTGAGGATGTAGTTTGGGTTATGTTGCGGTACTTTATAAACACTGCTGAGTTCACCATTATCTGACAGCTGGTAGTTACGTTAGCTAACAGTAGCTAGTAATGCACTGACGTCGGGGCGTCAGAATGTCCCGCTTCAAGGTAGCTAACAACTGGAGACAAAAACAGGTCTACTAGCGTTTGTTACAGATTGTTTACAATAATAACATAGCTAGCAAACAAAGGTGTAAAATGTCACCGGCGTACATGGTTCTTCTTTGCTACGCCATTTGTATGGACCACTTTTGAGTGGATGGGCGAAGCATGAATGAATCCCACTGTTAGCTTAGCAACTACTGTAGCTAGCTAACATTATCACTTTTACGAACGTTCTCAAAAGTGATCGTTAGCTGATCTTTACGTTGACCCTTCAAAAAAATATAAATAAATATTTCAACAACAATTATTTATATACATTTGGTTTACATTACATGTATTGTATTTTGCTAGATAGTTAGCAATGATAGCCTTGTAGCTAGCTACATAAGCTAAAACAGCTAGCTAAACTAACCCAACTAGCTAGCTCTACAGGCCGCAAAAAAAACCGGCATCTTTCCTGCGTTTGCTCACCCTCATCGTCGATGTCATCTTCGAAGTCTTCTGGGTCGCTGAACGACGGTTCCTCCTCGTCGAAATCGGCATCGGCCGGCATATCCTCAGTGTCATGCATTTAACAGGCTCGGGAGTGAGTTAGTATACGCTAAATCGGTGTAAATCTAGATTTCTAGAAGGCTGACGGTTACCCGCTGGTGTGACACCATGTGCGATTACGTGAAAATGGACGAATTGCGGGAAACGTCGAGGAGGAGTTTTCGCGGACTCACGGTTTCGCCTCCCGATAGCACTAGACACGTAGTATGTAGATAGGCTGCAGTGCGATGCCAGAGCTTTTCGATTCAGCTTACCATGTTGTGTGAGATCGGAGAAAACTGCGCAGTTGCTGATCATTTTATCGATTTTATGCACACCTTGAATTGTCCTTCTTACTTTCCGTAGTGAGGGAATCCATGAATGCACGCACTGGTAGAACGAAACTCTTTTATTCAGTCCTTGAGATACTTTTTAGGCTATTACTAGCTAGCTAGCTAGCGACGTGAATTTGTCCCTGATTTGCTTCTCAGGTAACTTCAGCATATACCTAGGTGCTGTAGTTAGTTGTCTATAGGTTTGCATGCATGTGTCATTCAACTCAGTTAGTTGTTTGTGTAGCTGACTTGGTTAGCTTGCTAACAAACGTGTTGCCATAAAGGTCCATACTTTACCTAGCTAGCAAGCTAGCTCTGGTCCAGGGCGGTAGCGTGCGTTCCTAGGTGACTCGAGGAACGCTTACTAAACGCCCTGGACCAGAGCTAGCAAGCTACCATCTGTCTAACTAAAGTAATAAAACATTTTTATTATTGGCTTTTCCCTATAGACATCTCTAAGCAGCATGGACAGTGAGTGCCTGGTGCTGCTGCCTCGGGTGTGTTCTGTACTAGCGGACCCCAGACAGTCCCTACCAGATGACACCAGCCTCGAGAAACTGCTGGACTGGTTCACCGGTCTCACCAAGGAGGGTGAGGACACACTTACACACAGGCCTCACACAGCGAGGATGAGGAGGAGAGACTAGCTATAATCTCTCACACACAGCGAGGATGAGGAGGAGAGACTAGCTATAATCTCTCTCACACAGCGAGGATGAGGATAGGAGGAGAGACTAGCTATATATCCTCTCACACAGCGAGGATTGAGGAGGAGAGACTAGCTATAATCTCTCTCACACAGCGAGGATTGAGGCCGGAGAGACTAGCTATAATCTCTTCACACAGCCGGGACGAGGAGGGGGTGGGGAGATATCTATAATCTTCTCACACGCGCGAGGATGAGGAGGGAGAGAACTAGCTTATAATCTCTCACAGCGGAGGATGAGGAGGAGGAGGAGACTAGCTATAATCTCTCTCACACAGCGACGGATGAGGAGGGAAGAGACTGAGCTATAATCTCTCTCACAACAGCGAGGGACGAGGATGGGAGGAGAGGACTAGCGCTATTAATCTCTCTCACACCAGCGAGGACGATGAGGGAGACTAGCTATAATCTCTCTCACACAGCGAGGATGAGGATAGGGAGGAGGACTAGCTATAATCCTCTCACACAGGTGATGGATGAGGAGGAGAAGGACTAGCTATAATCTCTCACACACAGCGAGGATGAGGAGGAGAGACTAGCTATAATCTCTCTCACACAGCGAGGATGAGGAGGAGAGACTAGCTATAATCTTCTCACACAGCGAGGATGAGGAGGAGAGACTAGCTATAATCTCTCACACAGCGAGGATGAGGAGGAGAGACTAGCTATAATCTCTCTCACACAGCGAGGATGAGGAGGAGAGACTAGCTATAATCTCTCTCACACAGCGAGGATGAGGAGGAGAGACTAGCTATAATCTCTCTCACACAGCGAGGATGAGGAGGAGAGACTAGCTATAATCTCTATCACACAGCGAGGATGAGGGGGAGAGAGACTAGCTATAATCTCTCTCACAGCGAGGATGAGGATGAGGAGGAGAGACTAGCTATATCTCTCTCACACAGCGAGGATGAGGAGGAGAGACTAGCTATAATCTCTCTCACACAGCGAGGATGAGGAGGAGAGACTAGCTATAATCTCTCTCACACAGCGAGGATGAGGAGGAGAGACTAGCTATAATCTCTCACACAGCGAGGATGAGGAGGAGAGACTAGCTATAATCTCTCTCACACAGCGAGGATGAGGAGGAGAGACTAGCTATAATCTCTCACACAGCGAGGATGAGGATGAGGAGGAGAGACTAGCTATAATCTCTCTCACACAGCGAGGAGAGAGGGAGGGACTGAGGATGAGGAGGAGAGACTAGCTATAATCTCTCACACAGCGAGGATGAGGAGAGACTATATAATAATAATAAGATGCCATTTAGCAGACTCTTTTATCCAAAGTGACTTACAGTCATGTCTGCATAAATTTTTACGTATGGGTGGTCCCGGGGATCGAACCCACTACCCTGGCGTTACAAGCGCAGTGCTCTACCAGCTGAGCTACAGAGGACCATACTACTGATCCTTTACTGATTACTGGCCTTGATCAAATCAAATGTTATTTGCCACATGCGCCGAATACAACAGGTGTAGACATTACAGTGAAATGCTTACTTACAAGCCCTTAACCAACAATGCAGTTAAGAGTTTTTTTTTTTTTAAAGCAAATAATTAAAGAGCAGCAATAAAATAAAATAACAGTAGGGAGGTTATATACATTTTACATGTACATTTTAGTCATTTAGTAGACGCTCTTATCCAGAGCTACTTACAGTTAGTGAGTGCATACATTTTCATACTGGCCCCCCGTGGGAAACGAACCCACAACCCTGGCGTTGCAAGCGCCATGCTCTACCAACTGAGCTACAGGGGGTACCGGTACAGAGTCAATGTGCGGGGGCACAGGTCAGTCGGGGTAATTGAGGTAATATGTACATGTGGGTAGAGTTAAAGTGACTATGCATGAATAATAAACAGAGTAGCAGCAGCGTAAAAGAGTGCATATAGTCCGGGTAGCCATGATTAGCTGTTCAGGAGTCTTATGGCTTTGGGGGGTAGAAGCTGTTAAGAAGCCGTTTGGACCTAGACTTGGCGCTCCGGTATCGGTTTATACACTTAGTTTATTTGACGATGTGTTACAGGACTGTGGGGCAGGAAAAGTCTACAGCCCACAGCAGCTCTTTATGGCCATAACAGCTCTAAGCGATCATGACCTACACAATGTCTGCTTACCAAATGGCACCCTGCTATTCCCTACATAGGGAACTTTTGACCAGGCACTGTGGGCACTACATTTGACCAGGCACTGTGGGCACTACATTTGACCAGGCACTGTGGGCACTACATTTGACCAGGCACTGTGGGCACTACATTTGACCAGGCACTGTGGGCACTACATTTGACCAGGCCATGTGGGCACTACATTTGACCAGGCACTGTGGGCACTACATTTGACCAGGCACTGTGGGCACTACATTTGACCAGGCACTGTGGGCACTACATTTGACCAGGCCATGTGGGCACTACATTTGACCAGGCACTGTGGGCACTACATTTGACCAGGCACTGTGGGCACTACATTTGACCAGGCACTGTGGGCACTACATTTGACCAGGCACTGTGGGCACTACATTTGACCAGGCACTGTGGGCACTACATTTGACCAGGCACTGTGGGCACTACATTTGACCAGGCACTGTGGGCACTACATTTGACCAGGCCACTGTGGGCACTACATTTGACCAGGCACTGTGGGCACTACATTTGACCAGGCACTGTGGGCACTACATTTGACCAGGCACTGTGGGCACTACATTTGACCAGGCCTGTTGGGCACTACATTTGACCAGGCACATGTGGGCACTACATTTGACCAGGCCATGTGGGCACTACATTGACCAGGCACTGTGGGCACTACATTTGACCAGGCACTGTGGGCACTACATTTGACCAGGCACTGTGGGCACTACATTTGACCAGGCACTGTGGGCACTACATTTGACCAGGCACTGTGGCACTACATTTGACCAGGCCACTGTTGGGCACTACATTTGACCAGGCACTGTGGGCACTACATTTGACCAGTGCACTGTGGGGCACTACATTTGACCAGGCACTGTGGGGCACTACATTTGACCAGGCCATGTGGGCACTACATTTGACCAGGCACTGTGGGCACTACATGTGACCAGGCCACTGGTGGGCACTACATTTGACCAGGCACTGTGGGGCACTACATTTGAACCAGGCCATGTGGGCACTACATTTGACCAGGCACTGTGGGCACTACATTTGACCAGGCACTGTGGGTCAGCTACATTTGACCCAGGCCAATGTGGGGCACTACAATTTGACCAGGCCACTGTGGGCACTACATTTGACACCAGGTCACTGTGGGCACTACATTTGGACTCATGGCCCATGTGGGCACTCAGCTACATTTGACCAGGCACTGTGGGACACTACATTTGACCGAGGTCCACTGTGAGGCACTACATTTGACCAGGCCACTGTGGGCCAACTACATTTGACCATGGCACTGTGGGCAACGACATTTTGACCAGGCCGTGTGGCACTACATTTGACCCGGCCAATGTTGGGCACTACATTTGACCAAAGGGCCAGTGTGGGCACTAACATTTGACCATGGCCACTGTGGGGCACTACATTTGACAAGGCCATGTGGGCACTACATTTGACCAGGCCACTGGTGGGCACTATACTACATTTGACCAGGCACTTGTGGGCACTACATTGGACCAGGCACTTGTGGGACACTTACATTTGCCAGGCACTTGGGCACACATTTGACCAGGCCATTGTGGGGCCACTACATTGTGACCCATGGCACTGTGGGCACTACATTTGACCAGGCACTGTGGGCACTACATTTGACCAGGCCATGTGGGCACTACATTTGACCAGGCACTGTGGGCACTACATTTGACCAGGCACTGTGGGCACTACATTTGACCAGGCACTGTGGGCACTACATTTGACCAGGCGCTGTGGGAATAGGGTGCCATTTGGGACGCAGGCCATAATACTTAATACCACCTGTGGTGATGTTTTCCAGACCGTGGCCTGGCCCTGTTGGAGTCCTGCCCCTGTCTGGTGGACTACATATCCACCGCGTGTCTGGATAAAACTACAGGTCCCAGCATGCTTTCCTTCAGCCTCAAACTTTCCGGCCTGCTGGCGGCCAGCCAACACGGCTTCAACCTGCTGCAGGTGAGCTTATATATATATATATATATATATACACACAGTACCAGTCAAGTTTGGACACACCTACTCATTCAAGGGTTTTTCTTTATTTGTACTATTTTCTACATTGTAGACTAATAGTGAAGACATCAAAACTATGAAATAACACATATGGAATCATGTAGTAACCAAAAAAAAGTGTTAAACAAATCAAAATATGTTTTTTATATGATTCTTTAAATAGCCACCCTTTGCCTTGATAACAGCTTTGCACACTCTTGGCATTCTCTCAACCAACTTCACTTGGAATGCTTTTCCAACAGTCTTGAAGGAGTTCCCAAATATGCTGAGCACTTGTTGGCTGCTTTTCCTTCACTCTGCGGTCCAACTCATCCCAAACCATCTCAATTGGGTTGAGGTCGGGTGATTGTGGAGGCCAGGTCATCTGATGCAGCACTCCATCACTCTCCTTCTTGGTCAAATAGCCCTTACACAGCCTGGAGGTGTGTTTTGGGTCATTGTCCTGTTGAAAAACAAATGATAGTTCCACTAAGCCCAAACCAGATGGGATGGCGTATTGCTGCAGAATGCTGTGGTAGCCATGCTGGTTAAGTGTGCCTTGAATTCTAAATAAATCAGACGGTGTCACCAGCAAAGCACCATAACACCACCTCCTCCATGCTTTCACGGGGGGAACCACACATGCGGAGATCATCCGTTCACCTACTCTGTGTCTCACGAAGACACGGCGGTTGGAGCCAAAAATCTCACATTTGGACTCATCAGACCAAAGGACAGATTTCCACCAGTCTAATGTCCATTGCTGATGTTTCTTGGCCCAAGCAAGTCTCTTCTTCTTATTGGTGTCCTTTAGTAGTGGTTTCTTTGCAGTAATTAGACCATGAAGGCCTGATTCACGCAGTCTCCAATGAACAGTTGATGTTGAGATGTCTGTTACTTGAACTCTGAAGCATTTATTTGGGCTGCAATCTGAGGTGCAGTTAACTCTAATTAACTTATCCTCTGCAGCAGAGGTAACTCTGGGTCTTCCTTTCCTGTGGCGGTCCTCATGAGAGCCAGTTTCATCATAGCGCTTAATGGTTTTTGCGACGGCACTTGGAGAAACATTCAAAGTTCTTGAATTTTCCGGATTGACTGACCTTCATGTCTTAAAGTAATGATGGACTGTCATTTCTCTTAGCTTATTTGAGCTGTTATTGCCATAAAATGGACTTGGTCTTTTACCAAATAGGGCTACCTTCTGTATACCACCCCTACCTTGTCACAACACAACTGATTGGCTCAAACGCATTAAGAAGGAAAGAAATTCCACAAATTAACTTTTAACAAGGCTCACCTGTTAATTGAAATGCATTCCAGGTGACTACCTCATGAAGCTGGTTGAGAGAATGCCAAGAGTGTGCAAAGCTGTCATCAAGGCAAAGGGTGGCTATTTGAAGAATCTCAAATATAAAATATATTTTGATTTGTTGAACACTGTTTTGGTTACTACATGATTCCATATGTGTTATTTCATAGTTTTGACCTCTTCACCATTATTCTACAATGTAGAAAATAGTAAAACATTAAGAAAAATCCTGTATATATATATTCAATCAATCCAGGTAGCATTGCATGGGTAGAAACACACACAGGTAGAGTTGAGATTATCCTCTCCTCCTACTCAGTCATTCAACCATCCATTCTGCTCAATGATGAATCCCAAATTCAGGCCCAGCAGGTGTAGTCAATATGGTAATAGGATAGAGTCAGTTGTAGTCAATATGGTAATAGGATAGAGTCAGGTGTAGTCAATATGGTAATAGGATAGAGTCAGTTGTAGTCAATATGGTAATAGGATAGAGTCAGGTGTAGTCAATATGGTAATAGGATAGAGTCAGTTGTAGTCAATATGGTAATAGGATAGAGTCAGTTGTAGTCAATATGGTAATAGGATAGAGTCAGGTGTAGTCAATATGGTAATAGGATAGAGTCAGGTGTAGTCAATATGGTAATAGGATAGAGTCAGGTGTAGTCAATATGGTAATAGGATAGAGTCAGGTGTAGTCAATATGGTAATAGGATGGAGTCAGGTGTAGTCAATATGGTAATAGGATAGAGTCAGGTGTAGTCAATATGGTAATAGGATAGAGTCAGGTGTAGTCAATATGGTAATAGGATAGAGTCAGGTGTAGTCAATATGGTAATAGGATAGCGTCAGGTGTGAAAGTCAATATAGTAATAGGATAGAGTCAGGTTAGTCAATGGTAATAGGATAGAGTCAGGTGTAGTAAATATGGTAATAGGATAGAGTCAGTGTAGTCAATATGGTAATAGATAGAGTCAGGTTGTAGTCAATATGGTAATAGGATAGAGTCAGGTGTAGTCAATATGGTAATAGGATAGAGTCAGTGTAAGTCAATATGGTAATAGGATAGAGTCAGTGTAGTCAATATGGTAATAGGATAGAGTCAGGTGTAGTCAATATGGTAATAGGATGGAGTCAGGTGTAGTCATATGGTAATAGGATAGAGTCAGGTGTAGTCATATGGTAATATGATAGAGTCAGGTGTAGTCAATATGGTAATAGGATGAGTCAGGTGTAGTCAATATGGTAATAGGATAGAGTCGGTGTAGTCAATATGGTAATAGGATAGAGTCAGGTGTAGTCAATATGGTAATAGGATAGAGTCAGGTGTAGTCAATATGGTAATAGGATAGAGTCAGGTGTAGTCAATATGGTAATAGGATAGAGTCAGGTGTAGTCAATATGGTAATAGGATAGAGTCAGGTGTAGTCAATATGGTAATAGGATAGAGTCAGGTGTAGTCAATATGGTAATAGGATAGAGTCAGGTGTAGTCAATATGGTAATAGGATAGAGTCAGGTGTAGTCAATATGGTAATAGGATAGAGTCAGGTGTAGTCAATATGGTAATAGGATAGAGTCAGGTGTAGTCAATATGGTAATAGGATAGAGTCAGGTGTAGTCAATATGGTAATAGGATAGAGTCAGGTGTAGTCAATATGGTAATAGGATAGAGTCAGGTGTAGTCAATATGGGAATAGGATAGAGTCAGGTGTAGTCAATATGGTAATAGGATAGAGTCAGGTGTAGTCAATATGGTAATAGGAGAGAGTCAGGTGTAGTCAATATGGTAATAGGATAGAGTCAGGTGTAGTCAATATGGTAATAGGATAGAGTCAGGTGTAGTCAATATGGTAATAGGAGAGAGTCAGGTGTAGTCAATATGGTAATAGGATAGAGTCAGGTGTAGTCAGTATGGTAATAGGATAGAGTCAGGTGTAGTCAATATGGTAATAGGAGAGAGTCAGGTGTAGTCAATATGGTAATAGGATAGAGTCAGGTGTAGTCAATATGGGAATAGGATAGAGTCAGGTGTAGTCAATATGGTAATAGGATAGAGTCAGGTGTAGTCAGTATGGTAATAGGATAGAGTCAGGTGTAGTCAATATGGTAATAGGATAGAGTCAGGTGTAGTCAATATGGTAATAGCTCTATCTTGCCAGGTGGAGGTTTCACCATATTGTTTACACCAATCTAATCACCTCAGCTCTCCACCAGTGCATAGGGTCGAGGGGTCCATTTGGGATTGGGCGTAAAACTATCTTCACCTCCTAGACATTCATTGATTTACTCTCTTCATTCCATCTCAGGATCGATCCATCCTGGGCGTGGCCTACGACAGCGAGCGCTGGCAGGTGGCTGGCCTATGGGAGGATCCGAGCGTGCGGATTGGCTGGATCCATGGCCTGAGTAACATGATGCACCACCCACAGGCCTTCCACTTCCTGGATCAGGCTGGTAGGTGTTCCACAACTGGTAACTCTGCTATCTCAGACTTCTGGACTTCAGTGCGTTCAAGACAACTGGCAACTCTGACTGGGGAAAAAAATAGTTTTGAACGGTCATCCAACTTTAAATTCGAAGTCGGAAACTCTGGCATCTTTCTAGAGCTCCGACTTTCCAACCTGAAGATCACTGACATGATTTGAATGCGTTTTGTTCCCAGTTCCCAGTTGTCATGACAGCACCAGTAGTACTACAGGAGTGATTTTATTTTATTATTTTATTTAACCTTTATTAAACTAGGCAAGTCAGTTAAGAACAAATTCTTATTTACAATGACGGCCTACACCGGCCAAACCCGGACGACGCTGGGCCAATTGTGCGCCGCCCTATGGGACTCCCAATCACGGCCGGTTGTGATACAGCCTGGAATCGAACCAGGGGGTCTGTAGTGACGCCTCAAGCACTGAGATGCAGTGCCACGGACCGCTGCGCCACTCGGGAACCCTCGGGAGTGTACTATCTAGGGAAGCCTCTCTTAAAGTTTGGGTTTCTATCGACGGGTTAGCTGATAACGCCACGGAAACGAAGCTCGCGCGTCAAAGGGGCAGAAGGCCGTGTGTTGTTCTGGTTCTGGATGGCCAGATGGCCGTGTGTTGTTCTGGTTCCGGATGGCCAGAAGGCCGTGTGTTGTTATGGTTCTGGATGGCCAGAAGGCCGTGTGTTGTTCTGGTTCTGGATGGCCAGAAGGCCGTGTGTTGTTCTGGTTCTTGACTGGCTGCATCACTTCTTGGTATGGCAACTGCTTGGCATTCGCCCGCAAGGCGCTACAGAGGGTAGTGCATTACTGGGGCAGAGCTCCCTGCCATCCAAAATCACATCAAATGTTATTGGTAACATACACATATTTAGCAGATGTTATTGCGGGTGTAGTGAAATGCTTGTGTTCCTAGCTCCGACAGTGCAGTAGTATCTAACAATTCACAACAATACACACACATCTAAAAGTAAAATAATGGAATTAAGAAATATATCAATATTAGGACGAGCAATGTCTGAGTGGCATTGCCTAAAATACAGTAGAATAGAATACAGAATATACACATGAGATGAGTAAAACAGTATGTAAACATTATTAAAGTGGCTATGTATCCATGTCTATGTACATAGGGCAGCAGCCTCTAAGGTGCAGGGTTGAGTAACCGGGTGGTAGCCGGCTAGTGATGGCTATTTAACAGTCTGATGGCCTTGAGATAGAAGCAGTTTTTTCAGTCTCTCGGTCCCAGCTTTGATGCACCTGTACTGACCTCGCCTTCTGGATGATAGCGTGGTGAACAGGCCGAGGCTCGGGTGGTTGATGTCTTTTATGATATTTTTGGCCTTCCTGTGACATTGGGTGCTGTAGTTGTCCTGGAGGGCGGGCAGTGTGCCCCCGGTGATGCGTTGGGCAGACCGCACCTCCCTCTGAAGAGCCCTGTGGTTGCGGGCGGTGCAGTTACCGTACCAGGCGGTGATACAGCCCGACAGGATGCTCTCAGTGGTGCATCTGTAAAAGTATGTGAGGGTCTTGGGGGCCAAGCCGAATTTCTTCAGCCTCCTGAGGTTGAACAGCGCCTTCTTCACCACACTGTCTGCGTGGGTGGACCATTTCAGATTGTCAGTGATGTGTACGCAGAGGAACTTGAATCTTTTCCCCTTCTCCACTGCGGTCCCGTCGATGTGGATAGGGGCGTGCTCCCTCTGCTGTCTCCTGAACTCCACGATCAGCTCCTTCATTTTGTTGACGTTGAGTGATAGGTTGTTTTCCTGGCACCACTCCGCCAGGGCCCTCACCTCCTCCCTGTAGGCTGTCTCGTCATTGTTGGTTATCAAGCCTACTACTGTTGTGTCGTCAGCAAACTTGATGATTGAGTTGGAGGCGTGCTTGGCCACGCAGTCATGGGTGAACAGGGCGTACAGGAGGGAGCTGAGCATGCACCCTTGTGGGGCCCCTGTGTTGAGGATCAGCAAAGTGGAGGTGTTGTTTCCTACCTTCACCACCTGTCAGGAAGTCCAGGATCCAGTTGCACACTGGCCCTCTATACCTCTATACCAAGCAGTGTCAGAGGAAGGCCCTAAAAATGGTCAGACTCCAGCCATCCAAGTCATAGACTGTTCTCCCTGCTACCGCATGGCAAGCGGTACCGATGCACCAAGTCTGGAAACCAACAGGACCCTGAACAGCTTCTACCCCCAAGCCATAAGACTGATGAATAGTTAGTCCTTGTAGCTATTTGGTTAACTATTTAACTGTCTGCATTGACCCTTTTGCACTAACCGTTCTGACTCATCCCATACGCTGCTGCTACTGTTTTACTATGTGTCACTTTATTCCTAGTTACATTGGGAAAGTATTCAGACCCCTTCCCTTTTTCCACATTTTGTTACTTTACAGCCTTATTCTAAAATGGATTAAATAAATAAAAATCCTCATCGATCTAAAAAAAAAAAAACAGAAATACCTTATTTACATAAGTATTCAGACCCTTTGCTATGAGACTCGAAATTGAGCTTGGGTGCATCCTGTTTCCATTGAACATCCTTGAGATGTTTCTACAACTTGATTGGCGTCCACCTGTGGTAAATTCAAATGATTTGACATTTGGAAAGGTACACATCTGTCTATATAAGGTCCCACAGTTGACAGTGCATGTCAGAGCAAAAACCAAGACATGAGGTCGAAGGAATTGTCCGTAGAGCTCCGAGACAGGATTGTGTCGAGGCACATATCTGGGGAAGGTTACCAAAACATTTCTGCAGCATTGAAGGTCCCCAAGAACACAGTGGCCACTCCTCAGTAAAAGGCACATGACAGCCCGCTTGGAGTTTGCCAAAAGGCACCTAAAGGACTCTCCGACCATGAGAAACAAGATTCTCTGATCTGATGAAACCAAGATTGAACTCTTTGGCCTGAATGCTAACCGTCACGTCTGGAGGAAGCCTGGCACCATCCCTACGGTGAAGCGTGGTGGTGGCAGCATCATGCTGTGGGGATGTTTTCCAGCGGCATGGACTGGGAGACTATCAGGATCGAGGGAAAGACGAACAGAGCAAAGTACAGAGAGATCCTCCACTGGGGCGAAGGTTCACCTTCCAACAGGACAACGACCCTAAGCACACAGCCAAGACAACGCAAGAGTGGCTTTTGGCACAAGTGTCTGAATGTCCTTGAGTGGCCCAGCCAGAGGCTGGACTTGAACCCGATCGAACATCTCTGGAGAGACCTGGAAAATAGCTGTGCAGTGACGCTCCCCATCCATCCTGACAGAGCTTGAGAGGATCTGCAGAGAAGAATGGGAGAAACTCCCCAAATACAGGTGTGCCAAGCTTGTAGCGTCATACCCAAGAAGAATTCAGGCTGTAATCGCTGCCAAAGGTGCTTCAACAAAGTACTGAGTAATTTTTATTTTTATAAATATATACATTTGCAAAACATTTCTAAAAAACCTTTTTTTGCTTTGTCATTATGGGGTGTCGTGTGTAGATTGATGAGGTTTAAATGATTGAATCCATTTTAGAATCAGGCTGTAAGTTAACAATGGGGAGAAAGTCAAGAGGTCTGAATACTTTCAGAATGTACATATCTACCTCAATTACCTCGTACCCCTGCACTTTGTGTATATAGCCAAGTTATCGTTGTGTATTTATTATTACTTTCATTATTACGTGTTATATTTTTCTATTATTTCTCTATTTTCTTTCTCTCTGCGTTGTTGGGAAGGGCCCGTCAGTCAGCATTTCACTGTTAGTCTACACCTGTTGTTTACCAAGCATGTGATGAATAGAAATGGATTTGATTTGATCTCCTCAGGCCTGACCAAACCCCTCCTCCAGCTACAGATTGACCCCAGCCTATTCGTTGCCTCGGCCGCAAATCACCTCTTGGCCCGCCTCCTGACTTTCAAACAACCAGCCACAACCTCACACACAACCCAGGGGAATGGCCTCACTGTTCCACCCAATACGGAAGAGGAGGAATTGGCCGTAACCATGGCGACAAGTCCAGGAAGCGGGCGTTCCGTCACCATGGAGATCTTGAAGCACCTGGAAAGCTCTCTGGAGTCAGACAGCCACACCCAGGTACGATTGATTGATTGGTTGATTGAGAACATTGTTTTTTTTTTACAGCAGTGACCCTAGAGGAGATGGGGGGGGGGGGGGGGGGGGTTGAAGACAATGATAAATATAGCTGCGAGCAGCAATGAACGTGGTTCACAGGATGACAGAAAGGTCACGATCAGTTGGATCACAAAGCAAGCAATTATCTTCCTTTATGTGCAATCAGTGAAAGCATTACCATGTTTATCTCTCAATACCACAAGGATGACCAAGTTAAGTTTAGTGCTGTAGGTTGGTTATCTTTGAATGCAGCAGGTAATCATTCTTAGTCATTACTTAATGTATTGAGTTTATATTCCAATTCTGAAGTCTATTTGACTAATGGTTTATGTTAAGATTTGTGAAATATTTTCAGTGTTCGTGTATTGGTATCAGGGTTGGAACCGGTTCATTGAACAGAACTGATTATTTTTTTATTTTTTTAGAGGAACAGAACCGGGAACGAAAGTGATCTATACTATTCCGGAACAGAACCATTATTTTAAAAGCATGGGAACTGGTTAATAACGTTATTTTACGTTCCGGGCATTTTTTTCCAGTCCCCCCCAAAAAACGCAGCAAAGAGCCAATGCAAAGCCCTCAGTCAGTCAGTCAGTCAGAAAACCTTTGAAGGTGTGTGTAGGCTGCCTGCCCCTCCCCCTCTGAAGCATAGGCCACTGTAGCTTACTGATGATACAAGCCGGATTCTTAATTAGAGAAGGATGGATTCACTTTTTCAATGCTAGTTAAGGATACTATAGTTATCACGTTTCACATTGGATTTATTAACTACCGAAAGGTCAGACGTGTTTTTTATTTTAATTCTGGTCCACACACAAGCTGGTCCAATGTTAAGCCAACTGTCGGAAGTTCGAAGACATTCCGAGTTCCTTCATATAAGCCGCTCCGTAGTTCTAATTCTGTGGGCCTAATTCAGATAATGTTTCAGGCCAAGCCTCCTCTTCCCCCTCTCTCACTCAGTCGCATCTCACGCCCTTCACTTGTCTGACATCTGTCCAATGCATGTGTAAATAACTATTGCTTGCCCGCTCCGTGCTCTATCCACAATGATTGGTGAAATAATTTAATGTTGCGCTAAATGTAAAATATATTTCAGAGGTTTAAAAAAGGAACAGAAAGAAACTATATAAAGCGTTACTTTTTTGGGGTTAGAACCGGTTCAGAACTTTATTTTGCTGGTCGGAACAGTGGAACGGAACGAAAAAAATAATGGTTCTGTTCAGAACTAAACTATTGGAAACCAATTTATGTTCCAACCACTGATTGGTATATTACAGTCATCTTTGAATTCTGGGACACTCAACTTTGCCAACTGCTAATGCCATTTAGAATTGTTACATAGTCAAAGTAAATTGGTAACAGTTGTGTTTTTTAAAGATATCAAACTTAACATGATTCATCATGTATGGGATGGGCATGAGTAATCCAGTAAAAAAACTCCATCTTTAACCAGAGATCAATTTTGTTTCAAATACTGAAGCTATTTGGTCAAAATGTTGTCTTGAAGACTACGTTAATTTGCTTTGACTCTAGTGTTCCATTTGTTTACATGTGCATTTGCGGGACACAACAAAAAATAAACCAAGCCAAGCATCAGGCAGTTCTGCTTCCTGAATTCCCTGTTCTGCTTCCTGAATTCCCTGTTCTGCTTCCTGAATTCCCTGTTCTGCTTCCTGAATTCCCTGTTCTGCTTCCTGAATTCCCTGTTCCGACCACTCCCTCTACACACGCGTGCTGTGTGCACCTACACAACTAAATGCCTATTAAAAACATATCAATGGGACAAGGACGTCCCGGCCGGCCAAACCCTCCCCTAACCCGGACGACGCTGGGCCTATTGTGCGCCGCCTCAAGGGTCTCCCGGTCGCAGCCGGCTGCCACACCGCCTGGGATGGAACCCGGGTCTGTAGTGACGCCTCAAGCCTTCGACCGATGCACCACTCGGCCCTATAGCCTCTAGTTTCCCATATTAGAAAAAAGTTACCCATCTATGCTGGAGTTATTTGACAATGTTAAAATATATATATATTTATTTATGAGAATAACAATAGGTTTCACTCTGTGAACCCCTAATAATGATATTTTATCAAGGTCTTTATAATGGTCTTCTATTGTGATGTGTCACTAGGTGCTCCAGGGGCTGAGGCTGCTGGCTCTGACTCTCCCCGAGCTGGAGGCTCCTCTCTGGGGCTCGGTGATCAGGCGAGTCCTGAGGCCTCTGGAGGGGTTGGTCCTAGAAGGCCGCGGAGGAGGAGTCACACAACCTCTCATGGACGTCCTACTGGCTACATACAGGTGTGTTTTGGTGGCCTGAAGAAATGATGGGATGTTTGATTCTGAACATCACTTATGTTCTCAAGGTAACCAGGTTGCTACATCAGGGTGCTGTTTATTTGGTGCTGAATGGAAGAAAATGGACTGAAACAGGGAGGGACATGGACACCCCTTGTCCAATAAGATTGTGGAGTTTTGTTTGTTTTTGCAGGTCCGGGCCGTGTGACTCCAGACTCGTCTCTCTGATGGCGTCCATGTTGAACTCCCAGAATCCCTCTGACGCTGCGCTGTGTGCTGCTGCCACCCTCCGTCTGAAGACCTGGTAACAGACGCACACCCTGAACATATTTGTTCTAATCCATGGCCACCTGATGGACTAACTGGATATTGTTTCAGCCCTCCAGACCTCAGACAGAAGGCTGTAGCTGTTCTACTGGGACCTCTACAGATGGTTACTGGAGTAACTCTACTGGACAGGCCCAATGACAGACACGCTGATCAACAGACTGACCACAGACACGCTGATCAACAGATTGACCACAGACACGCTGATCAACAGACTGACCACAGACAGACTGATGAAGATAACAGACAGACGGACACTGACCAGGACAGACAGACGGAGGGCCGTAGCTCTCTCTCTCTCCTGCTGGATCATCTCAATCAGAAACCCTCCTGTATCTCTCTGCTCTGTCTGTGTGTGTCCAGCACTCTCTACATAACAGACATGGTAAGAGACATTCCTTATCCACTGCTCTGTCTGTGTCCAGCCCTGTTTGTTATTGTGTGCAAACCTTTTTTTATGGCCGGATAGCATATCCCATAGCAGTAGAGGGATTTCAATTATCACTACCTGGATCTGGGGACGGCTGTTCAAACTCCCCTCTTTTTAACGCTCTGTCTCTCTTTCTCTCTCTGTCTCTGTCTCTGTCTCTCTCTCTCTCTCTCTCTCTGTCTCTCTCTCTCTCTGTCTCTCTCTCTCTCTCTCTCTCTCTCTCTGTCTCTCTGTCTCTCTCTCTCTCTATCAGGAGTCATCTGCCTCTGTCATCCTTGCTGTGGTGTCACTCCTGAGGATCTGTAACGGCCACTCCCCCTGCACTGAGAGCAAGGCTCCTATTGGCTGTAGCAAAGCCTCCACCAACCTGATTGGCTGCAGCAAGGTCCAGAGGTGTGGCCTAGACTCCTTGGCTAGCCTTAACACCTGCTCTGGTGAGAATCTAGACTCTGGAGTGTGTTTTGGAATGCAGCAATGTTGAAAAGCCTTAGAGAACCTTTGTTGTTTCAGGAGCTGTGGAACTGGTGGTGGAGGTGTTCCATGTTCTACTGCAGTACCTACAGAACCCTGACTCAGACCCCACCGTGAGACACACGCACACAACCATACCTTCAAACTCAGTTTGGTTTGTTCCGTTGGTTAGTTTCCTAGTTGATTAGTTAACACTGTGTTCGTTCTCTCTCTCTCTCCTCTCCCCCTCTCCTACTGATCATCCGATCTATTCATAACATCTCTCTCTTTACTATTGGTCTCTTCCTGTATCGTTCTTTCATTCTGTA